CTGACTGAAGCCCCTAGCCACGTAGCGCGCCTTGAACACTGGCGGTGCTCCAGGCGGCCGCTTCACCTTGAAGAGCCACATGCCATCGACTACGTTCGCCCTGGGAGAGGAACTGCGTCGACGTAGGTGCCTGTGGATCTCCAAGACGCCAACTCTGAGTCCATAGCCGCTTTCCACTGAGAGGCCCACGCCCCTGACACTGCCTCGCGCTAAGTGCGAGGAGTCGGTATGTCAAGGGCGTCGGGGTCTCCCTCAGGGGAGAGCAGCATGGCACACACAGAGGGAGAAGCGGCTGCCCAGTACTCCAGCTCAGACTCTCTGTCCTCTAGGACGTCACAGCCAAGGGCAAACTCACCCCCGACGGACAGAGGACGGTAGGGAGGAGCTGGCACCACACGGGTGGCGTAGTCAAGGCGGCTGGCGGCAGCAAACTCAGCGACAGCGGCAGTGAGAGCAGAGACCGACGACGGAGGGAAACGAGAGTCGGTGACAAGAGTGGCGAGGACACGTGCGGCAACAGGACGAACAGTGCGGTAGTAGTCAGTGATAGGAGTGGGGAGGGCTAGGAGAGAGGACGGAGGAGGAGACGGGAGAACGGGCACAGGAGAAGGAGAACGACGACGAGACGTACAAAGGAGGGCAGTGTGGAGGTCAGTAACAGGGGACGAGTGACGAGCACGCGGAGGACAACGAGTGACCAAGTCGCGACGGACCGAAGGAGGAGGAGACTGGGAAGGAGGAGAAGACCAGACCGCCGGACGGTCGTCAGGAGGAGGCAACGGAGGAACAAACACAGGAGGAGACTGGGAGCGGACAGGAGGAGAGGAGGAAAAGCCAAGGGCCCGCAGGCCACTCACAGGTGGGAACAACTGCCGCTCCAGAGGAAGCTGCGGTGGCGGCTGCGGCTGCTGCTGCTGCGGCGGCGGCTGCGGCTGCTGCTGCGGCTGCTGCTGCGGCTGCTGCTGCTGCTGCTGCTGCTGCTGCTGCCGCTGCTGCTCCAGAAGGTCCAGCACCCGCAGCTCCTGCCGCTCCCTCTCCAACCGCTCCTGCTCCTCACGCTCACGCCGGCGGGCAGCCTGGAGTCGTGTGTCGTGGCGGTGGGGAGGCGGAGTGGACTCCGCAGAACCAGGGTCAGACTCCTCAGACTCAGCACCCCCAGAACCAGCACCTCCAGTGCCAGGACCTCCAACTCCAGCACCCCCAGTACCAGCACCTCCAGTGCCAGGACCTCCAACTCCAGCACCCCCAGAACTAGCACCACCAGTGCCAGCACCTCCAGCTCCAGCACCCCCAGAGCTAGCGCCACCTGCGCCAGCACCTCCAGCTGCAGCACCCCCAGAGCTAGCGCCACCTGCGCCAGCACCTCCAGCTCCAGCACCCCCAGAGCTAGCGCCACCTGCGCCAGCACCTCCAGCTCCAGCACCCCGTGACCGAGTGCCCCCAGACCTAGCACCGCCAGTGGCTGCACCTCCAGCCCCAACACCAACCGAGTCCACAGTAACCTGTCGCGGAAGTGCCGAAGGCTGCTGAGGGGACTGTGAGGAGGACTGTGGGGAGGGAGACGGTACCTGACGCGCGACCGAGGGTAGAGGGGTAACGTGAGACACACCAGACGGGGTAGGACCAGGGGGGGGCGGGGGTACCGGAGGAGGGGGAGCAGGAGGAGGAGAGGGTGCGAGGAAAGGAGGGGGAGCGGGTACCGGGAGACCTCGACAGGGGTACCGGGTGTAGTAGGACACTGACTCGTCAAACCGGACATCACGGGAGTCTAGGAAGTGGTGGAGGGGAGGGTGGTAAAAGGACCAGTCGGCAGAGTCCACTGGGAAACCAAGGAAGACACAGGGGACGGCGCGTGCCGAGAGCTTGTCCGCGGAGGTGTCGCGAACAAGTGCAAGGCAGCCCCAGACTCGAAAGGCCGACCCGACACCAGGGGAACCAGTCCAAAGACTGGTCGGTGAAACCTCGGGCCGCGAGACACGCGGCTGGAGGTTCAGCTGGTGTGCGGCGTAGCGAACCGCGTGGGGCCACAGAAAATGGGGCGCACGGGCATGGATCATGGACGTGCGGGCGATGTCCATGACCAAGCCTATGCGGCGCTCAGCAACCCCATTCTGCTGTGGGGACTCTGGCAGCATCCAGGACTGGGTGATGCCCTGTTCGCCGCAGAATCCGCCGAGAATGCCGGAGCGAAACTCGCCCCCACGGTCGGAGTGGAGACAACTGACTCGACGACCACGAGTGCCCTCAGTGGCTAGAAGCCACCTGATCAGCGTAGCAGTCACCTCGGACTTCTTCGCAAGAGGGAACACTGTGGTGTACCTGGAGAAGTCGTCAACGACCACCAGAAAGTAACGCTCCCTCCCAGACCCCTGCGTCGGGGCAGGGCCCCAGACGTCCAAGTGGAGAGTCTCGAAGGGAGCGGTGGCCGGACGAAGGGAGGAGGAGTGGGGAGTGGCGCGTAAGCGACCGGCGACGCACGGAGAGCAAGGAGGGGCAAGCGAGAGAGGGAGCGACGGGAAGGTGCGTGGGAGACCTGAGACAAGTCCCTGACTGAGCATGCCACGTAGGCGAGGGAGCGACGGGTGGCCAAGGCGGTGGTGCCACAAGACGGTGCGGTGGGTGAGAGAGCGACAGGAGCAAGACGCCGCGACTGGACTGGGCACAGCGACCGGACCGGACACTACTACCTGGCTAGACACAGCAACTGGACTGGGGACCTGGGCTGGAGGGGACGCAACGACCTGAGGGGAGGACGCGACCGGGGAGCGCTCGGTGTGGAGAACGTAGAGACCGGAGCGGGGCTCCCTGGTGAACGTGGCCAGAACAGCACCTGTGGTAGCGTCTGTACAGACTGCAGTCCGCCCACCCCCCACGAAGGTAACCGTGATCCCCCTGTCCTGGAGGTATCCAACACCCACCAAGTTCCGAGTGAACGAGGGGATGTGGAGGCCGCGCAGGACACCAGAGGGGACCACAGGGCACGAGAGGGTGGTGGAGCTACGCGCAACGGCTGGTCCAGAGGTAGGATCAGCCAGAGCCACCGACACAGGTGTGAGGAGTGGTGTAAGGGTCGTGTGGTCGCGGAAGAAGCACTGAGACGCGCCCGAGTCCAGCGTGAACGACAGAGAGGCCTCAGCCGGCGGGTCACCTGACCCAGTCGCTACACAAGCACCTAGAGCAGCAACACAAGTACCTAAGCTAGACAGGCACAAGGCTACACTAGCAGGATGCAAGCAGGCTAACCTACGAACACGCGAGCACACAGATCCATCAGCACTAAAGTAAGCATCAACATACAAAGCATGCTGACGCACATCGTCCATGGACAAATCAAAGACATCAATCTTACGGGCTAACAGACGAGACCAGCGAGGCGTGACCGCCAGAGGGCCCCAACGAGCCCGGTAGAGGTCGTCAAGGCGGCGGAAGCACCGCGCGGCAGAGTGGTCGTCGCGACCACAGAGACAGGGGCTCCCCGGCCCGGTGACGCACCAGTGGGTGCACGGGCCAGCGTCACGGCGAGGGGGGCGAGGGTCCAGCTGGAAGTACTGCTGCTGCGGCTGGTGCTCCCAGGGCCGCCCGGACCCCACTGCGGCGGGGGACCCCAGTGCTGCTGCGGACCCCACTGCAGCGGGGGCCCCCACTGCTGGGGTGCCTGCTGCTGCTGCGGTCCCTGCTGCTGCTGCTGTCCCTGCTGTGGCGGGTGCTGCTGTGGGTACCGCTGTGGCTGCTGCTGCTGTGGGCCTCCACCAGTGGGAGGGCCCGGCTGTCCGGCGCCCGCTCCAGGGCCCCCTCCTCCCGGTGCACCACCGCCGCCGCTGCCACCTCCACCCCCGCCGCTCCCACCTCCACCGCCTCCTCCACCGCCCCCTCCACCGCCGCCGCCTCCGCCCCCACCCCCCCCCTTCCCGCCCTTCTTGCCGCTCTTGCCCCGTTTCTGCCAGTCTGCGGCAGAAACGGCAGCAGTGTCCTCAGAGACCGACACAGCAGCAGAGGCGCGGGTAGCGGTGAAAGTGGGAAGCTGAGGGGCGGCACACCCCGCAAAGAGACGGGGGGCCACCGCATCAGTGGCGGAGGCAACGGTGAGGAGACTGCTCTCGATGGTCCCTAGAGCAGTCGCTAGGAGGTCGATAGTGAGCTCAGTGGGGTGCTTCTGAAGAAGCGCGTCGCGGGCAGTGGCAAGGCGGTCAGGGAGGCGGGTGACTAACCAGTGAACAGTGAGCCACATGGGGGGGGGAGCAACTAGAAGCTGTGCGTCGGTACAGGCAGTGCGGAAACCGGCGTCAAGCGAGCGGAGGTGAGTCACTAGGTCGGAAACAGTCGCAAACGAGCCTAGGTCGGGAAACACAAACGTCATGAGGAGGCGACTGAGGGAGGCAGAGGAGGGGGTGGAGTAGCGAGCAACAATAGCCTCCCAAACCCCCTGTGCAGTCTCCACCTGGTCAAAGTGGGCGGCCTCAGTCGGGGGGAGAAGCTCCGACAGAGTGAGAGCGGCGGCTGCGTCACGCGAGAGCCACACGTCCCTGGCCAGGACCCGACGGTCGTAGTCCGCCTGTGCCGTAGGGGTCGGCTCCGGGGTGGTCGGCAGGGCGGCGGGGGACGGGGGGGCCTGTAGGGCACCAGACGTGTGAGCCCACAGAGTGGCGCCGTCCTGTCGCTGGCTGGTGAGGAAGCGTGTGGTCTGGCGCTGCCAGGTACCGAACTCGATTGGGCGTCCCTCCGCATCAAAACGGAGGCGACGGGCCTCCATAGCGGAGCCCATGCTAGAGGCGGCTGGAGCACGGCGGAGGCGGAGCTAAGAACGAGGAGGAAAACTACGGAGCGTCAGGAGAGAAAGCGGCGGAGCGAGAGACTAGGAGTACCGAGCGACCTAGACTAGGCATGAAATCGTGGATCGCCAGCTACAAGTGCGAGGAGCGAGGTATGAGCGGCTAAAACGGCTCTAACCTAGGTGACCGGCGAGAGAGAGCGGCTGCCAGCCGCTGAGGGATAGACCAGTGTCAGCAGAGCTGGGGAGGGCCCCGCGCACAAGGCGGTGGTGGGGCTAAGGTGATGAACAGTGAGAGAGGGGCGGGGAGGCCGAATGCGACGGTGAAAATGGGCGGGAGGAGGATCTGACGGTGGGAAATGGGCGGGGAGGGGAGGTTGACGCGACGGGCAAGGGAGGGCGACGGGATTGGGAGGGGAGGGCGACGCGACGGGCAGGGGGAAGGGAGGCGACGCGACGGGCAGGGGAAGGGGAGGCGAACGCGACGGGCAGGAGGAGGGGAGGCGACGCGACGGGCAGGAGGAGGGGAGGCGACGCGACGGGCAGGGGGAAGGGAGGCGACGCGACGGGCAGGAGGAGGGGAGGCGAACGCGACGGGCAGGAGGAGGGGAGGCGACGCGACGGGGAGGGGAAGGGGAGGCGACGCGACGGGCAGGGGGAAGGGAGGCGACGCGACGGGCAGGGGGAAGGGAGGCGACGCGACGCGACGGGCAGGGGGAGGGCGCGACGGGCAGGGGGAGGGCGCGACGGTCAGGGGGGAGGGCGCGACGGGCAGGGGGAGGGCGCGACAGTGGGAGGGGCCGGGCTAGGCGCGCGGTGAGGGCGTGGAGGGCGCGGAGGGTACTAACGTGCGGAGGGCGCGGAGGGCACGAACGTGCGGAGGGCGCGGAGGGCACGGAGAGGCGGGCCGAGGGGCGCACTAAGGGGCGCGACGTGGGGCGGGCTGAGGGCCGCGCTAAGGGGCGCGAGGGCGCTAGGAGCGCGGAGGGCGCGGAGGGCGCTAGGCGTGACGGAGGGCGCGGAGGGCGCTAGGCGCTACGGAGGGCGCGAGGGCGCGGAACGGAGGGCGCGCAGGCTAGGGCGGGGAGGGAGGATCGATACCTACTCGTGATACCATCTCAGAATCTACATGCAACGGAATGATTGGGATTAGGGTTTGCAAGCATACAAATACCGTAGGAGTCCTACAAATGTTGTACCCTCTAGGGAGTGCCTCACTGCAGCCTATCATAACATTAACATTTGACACTCAGCAACTGCCGCAGCTTCTCCATCACGTTCACCAATGAAGGAGAAGCACTCAGGGAGACATAGGAGGGTTGCACCAGCTGCAGCCGCTTGCTGGAGCGATAAAAGAGTAAGAGAAAACATAGAGTAAGAGTCAAGCAGGAAGTACAAAATAATGATAACTACCTAAAAGCACTGAAGGATTCCTCACGTCACAATCATGAGGCTTACCTCCACAAGCAATTTGCATGTAGCGTAGTTCTTCTCAACATCACCAACAGCTGTCATTTGCGCCACAGCCACTCGCCTGCTGCCACCATGACCATTGCTCTCGATGACACCCGCTTCCGTATCCAGCTTCTGCTTAATACCACCCAGTTGCTGCTGAATACGGCCTCCGCCAACCCCCGAAAGCGTCGTTCGGTCGGCGTTGGAGTCATCAAGCATGTCCCCTGATGGGGTTTCCAGAGATGAGTCGTCGACATTTGGAGCCATGGAGCCACGGAATGCCATGCAGGCGAATTGCTTGAACGAGGCAAATGTGGGCAACCTAGGTGCCACTGCAACGCCCAGTAATGCGTTACGCGATCCAGTCTTCAAAGTGAACGATCTAACAAACAATGGACTCACTCGAAGAAACTGAGATGTAGCATGAAACAACATTAGGAGTCGATATGGGCCTACGCAAGGAATGCAACGACGCACTTCGCATTCGTCAAGGTTTGGTCATGGAGGGAATGGAGCGACAGACGGATGCGCAGCAGACGCCACAGAAACGCTACCGCCACCAAGAGAATGAAAGCATCAATCGGAACCAGCCGAATCTGTGCTACTACATGCGCGCGGATATCCCATGAACGCCAGTCATGGTACAACTTCAGCTAAATAAGATGTGTTGTTTGAATCCCATGTATGTCAACACTACTTAGATACATGGATGGAAATAATGTTGTTCTAGCATCCATGCCATTGAGGTGAAAGTTGGCGGATGTTCCAAAAACGATGGTGACACTTCCAGGCAGATCAACATGCTGGTGGCCAGTCAGAGGAGCAGCTCCGCCATGCCTTGACGTCACCTCACACAAGAAAAGCTTCTGATTGACGTGGCGACGCTCGCTCACACGCATCAGACCAGTCTGCTTGGGCCGACATGCCAAAGCGGAAAACTCGGCTCGGAAGGGCGAGGTTGAGGCCAAATTCTCGTCACCGTTTCAGCTTTGCCAAGCTCATGCCACCACCATACCAGAGAGGCTATTTGATTGGGTGTTGTTTTCCAGGGCTTGAGGATTTAAACTTCTCGGATTGGCCTAGATTACTGCCGAAGCAGGGAACCAGCTTCAAAATGAGGTATGGTTTCAACGAGACTGAGAGAGTTTGAATAACCCCAACCAATGCCATCTCTCAACACAGGTATCTTTGCCTCGACGGGCAGCCCAGCACAACCGAAGTGCACCAAGGCGGGCCACGTGCTCGCCGAGGCTGGATGAAATCAGACCAAACCCAGGTTTTGCACATAGCCAGCTAGCTGTTCAAGGCACTGCGTGTTTGCACTCAGTTCCGGAAGAGGCGAGGAGTTGAGGAATCCTCTCGAGACGATGGTCTACTGCACGGACGGAAACGAAGGCGGTTGCTGCCTTTCTCCATCATCTGAAGGATGACACATGGCTCTTGCTGATGAAGCCCTGGTTTGTTCTTTCAGGAAGTGCTAGAGGAGTGTTGTGGGTGGGCTTCTTTATCCAGTTCAATGGTCAGCCTGATCTATGGACCAGGCACACCCTCTAACCAGGGTGTTCAGAGCTGGCTAGGGTCCATGTTTCCAGTGTAGACTGGGTTAATTCGATAGACACTTACCGTTACGTTGCCGAGCATCAGTGTGATAGTAATGCTTTCACTTCCTTCTCGAATTTCAGGCTCCGTCATTTGCGTTAACCACGTTTCGCGTGCCTTGTTGTAGAAATACGATAAGATAGGTAGAAATGGTGAGGCATGCTGCTCCTAGGGGCCTGGGAAAGCATTGTCATTGTTGCCGGCAAAAGAGACCAACCGCTGAGCTAATTCCATGTGGAGCGTCGCAAGGTGAAGGTGGAGCTAAACATGGCCCGTGGTGCCATAGGTGCATCCTCACAAAGCTCCACAAAAACCTGTCGTTTATAGCCGCAGCTTCTATGGCAGCCAAAAGGGGGACTTGGCGATGTCCAAGGTAAATTAACATATCCAGAAGAACTCACTATGCCTCGTTACTTTGGTCTCCACGGGATCCACCAAGTTTGATTAGCTTAGTATCAGTTCCTAGCCTACGACCAATTTCATGCCGTAATGCTTCTTTCCTGTATTCGTTGTGGCCAGGTGTGACGATGTGTGTCCTTGCAACAAATGTGTTCAGAGAAGAAACAAGGACGGAAGGCAGAGACGAGGGAAAAACCAGCCCAGGTTATTTCTCATTTGTCTCAACTGTGCATCCTGTTTCCGCGCATGGTCGGACTTGCCGTAGGTGATGTAACCGAGTCTTTCTTGCCGTGTCCTGCAGGGAGGAAACCAGTGGATTCGAGTTTGGTAAGGGAATTGAAGACCTTCACATTAGTGGCTCCTCGCATGCTGATGACGACTCTACTCCTGGGGTGTCTCACACTGGAAGAGCTTCATCAAGTGGGTGATGGTGAGACTTGACCGTCTTATTTTCAAAATCCACGTTCTCACTGACTCTTTTTCGCTGGCAGGCACTCCTCAAGATAATGAAGCATATGAAGGCGCTCTCGGCTTGTGTGCAATCTTAAAGAAGGTCGTGCCTTTGGTGCTCTTTCTGGATGCGTTCTAGGCACCCCTTGACTCAGTTATCATACTAACCTACTACATAATTTCTCACTTTCAGGAAGAGGAGGAGGATTCACATTCCCATTCGCCATCGGATTCAAGTGACGTGCCAACGCCTCCACAGCAGCAAAGCTCTGGGACCTCTCAAGATCCGAGACTCCCTGCATCAGATGATCAACCAGCCGTTAATAGTTCTGAGGAGAAAGACGAGCACTTATCTCCCACTGAGCTGCCGTGGACCCCTAGGAAGAGCAGGTCGGCTTTCAAACGCGATTCTTCAGCAGCTAGATCCAAGGACGTTCTTCAAGAGTGCCATTCACAAGCCTTTGCTCGAAGAGAAAAAGTGACGGTACGATTTGACTTCATAGTATATCTGTCGTTCTGATTTTTTTTTACAGCATCTCATATACTTTTTTCTTCTCTTGCAGGATGTGCATGCTGTGCCACATCAAGTTGAGGAGAACTTGGAACTTCCATCAAGGCACAAGCTGCCGAGATACTCCGTTGGTGAGGAGCAGCAACCAACTTTCCTGCATGACAGCCATTTGCCATTTCCTGGGATTCGTGGATCCAGGAGCTTTACATACCAGATGCAGGATAGCACTCTCGGTTGCCGTTCAAACGTCGGACATAAGGATGGGCTACCCAAGCCGGGACTGAGGCTTTCCGGGTCTGCAGACGCATTTCAATATGCCATGGGGGAAGGTGTGAGCAATTCACCTGCCAATGAGCGCTTATTTTCTGTTGGAAGACTGCAAGATTCTATTTCCCCTCGCTCGGCGTCTGTTCCGCACACTCCAGTTCGACGAAAGCTTTCTCGCAAAGGCATTCCATCAAGGGGTGATTCGGGCATTGATTTCAGCCCGCTAATTGAGCCATCTTCCCCATGCAAGGCGGTCAGCCCATGTGTTCTTCCGCGAACAGCAGCTGAGCCTCCTGTGATTAATCAACATAGAATGAGTGTATCAGCTGCTGGTTTGGAATCTGACGAGCATTGTGCAAGCGAAGTCTCCATCGAGAAGCTGGAGACACTTCGACCTGGTAGCAGCAAGGAGGATGACGCGACTTCGTCCTTCTCAAAAGATGTACAGTTGCGTCTTTTTGAAGACAGGAAGGCATCAACTAGTCCTGGGACACCCCGCATGTTGAAAGCAGAGCCGTACAGTGTATGTGCTGGTCCTTCAACCAGCAGACTCGCTGCTCTGGGTACTCATGACAAGATGCGTTCAGACAAGAAAGTTGCAGCTGCTGTTGCGGCAGCATTGAGACTGTGCGTACCTGAGATTGCTGGATCGGGGTCCTCTTTCAAGACATCTAGTTCGTCTAGTGACTGTTCTGAAGGGCGCTGCCATGCAAGTCCTGGCACTGAGGAGTCTCCACCTAAAGCAGGGAAGGAGGAGAATAACACAACCTCTGACCTTGCACTTCGTTGTCACATGAAGCTTCCATGTGGAATGATTAGGAATCAGGAGATTCTCAGCGCTTCTCCTTACAACCTTATCCAGGAGGGGCTCACTAATGATCCCTGGAGGGTCTTGGTCGCATCGATGCTTCTGGAAGGTCATCCTTCTAATATGGTATGTTATAAGTTCGCCAGTTCGGTTTGGTCAGTGTCATAGCATGGCAACTAACATCCTGGTACCGTCTATCATGGCAGGTGCGGCTTGGAGTAAGGAGGTTGTTTCAGAATCTTCCTTCAGCAGATGACGTCTTATCTTCTGACATTCAGACACTGCAACAAATCGTAGGCAGTGCAGGATTTCATGAGAGATGGGCTAAGAACTTGCTTATATTCACCCGAGAATTCTCATCAGGAAACTGGGCTCGGATAACTGACCTTCCAGGAGTTGGCAGGTACGTATGTTGGTTGCCTTGTCTGATTTAATCCATCGTTTTTGTAAATTTGACTGACACTGTCGTACTCACCAGATATGTTGCAGATGCATATGCTATCTTCGTTGAGGGTCAACTCCAGTCAGTACATCCAACAGACAGCCTCCTCCAGAAGTATCAGAGGTGGGCACTGTGCCGTAAATAGTGTATATTAAAACATTTTCATTTGCTGTAATTAGTTCAGCTACGAATGTTGGTAGCTATCTGGTTGTGAATATTGTAAACTTTGTACATATTTCATTATTATTTGCACTGCTCCTTAAAAAATAGTTTTAACTCCTCCTGAAGGCATAGACACAGTAATCATGTTTTGAAATGTAGCTGACATAGCAGTGTCAAGACCACCACAAGGAGATAGTGTAGCTGCCATGCCACCTATCAGGGTCAGGACTCCTTCGGTGAGAGAAGTGCGGGATGGAAAAAGATTGCGAAGATTGTTCCACTATAGTTAAGAATAAACACAGAGAAACCCGTACTCAATTTAAATACATCTAGTCGGAGTAGATGCGGCACTCGTCAGCATCAGGGTTCTCGTCGCAGTACTGCTCAAGGGGGTCGGAAGACTTCTGGGCCTCCTTGTGCGAAATAGCGGCAGAGATCTCCTCAACCTCGTCCCACGCCACAGCACACTCCGCAGATCCCGAGTTCGGGTCTGCGCAGACGTTCTTGGCCTCCTGAATCTTCTCCTCAATGACCTTGTCAAGCTCAGGTTGCGAGCTAGCGAACACCTTCAACGACCGGGAAGGAGTAGCGCGCACGGTCACGGCGCTCTTCACGGACTGAGAGAAGGCAGTTGACCGCCTCAGGCCGCAAGGGGCGGTGGGGGCAACAACAAAGGCGAGGGAGGCCATGGTTGGCTAGAAAACTTAGGACAAGGAAGAAAAGTCTGGAGCTGTGAGTGAAAGACCGCACTAACTGATGATGAAATGTGATGAGGTCAATTGACAGGAGATGGTGGAAGCTGGGGGTATTGGCGAAGGAGTGGTGGAAGAGCCGGCGAGAGATGATGGGCTAGAATGGTGGGATAGGTGAATGATGATCTGGGGACGTGGAGAGGTTCAGGGCAGAATAGCTATGACGTGGAATATATTTGCCACATAGACCACCTTGCCAGGCAAGCTGACATGGCGATCCCACCGCCTGATATAAAATATCAGAGTTGTGCTCTTCCCACCATCCGAATGATATTACCCCAGACAAATTGGTGTCAGGTTTGCACCCAATTACGCTCGGGCACGCTATCATCTACACCCTACAACGTGGATGCTTGATCCAAAGTATTGGGTAATTACATTCTGGGTAACCAACATTGAGCCCGCTGACGTCAAAAGTCACCTACGTGGCTCGATGGTACCCGTCAGATCATGCGCGCCCCTTGGTGGTACCCATCTTCCCTCCGTGGTACCCATCTTCCCTGCGTGGTACCCATCAACTGTACGCGAATTCCCTGACTGGTACCGCAACATTTCAACCGAGCTGTACACCGTACAACAAGGGTGTCAATGCGTTTTTCACTATATTGTCTTAACGTTTACAAGCTCAATAGAGTCCGAAGCCCGAAGTGCCACATAATCGGGTCAAATTTTCAAGCGCATTACCTATAATAAAGTGTAGAAGAAAAGCTGAATTTAGGAAAACATTTATTGTGTAGATTTCTTTAGGCTCATAAACATCCACATTATAACGTGCTATAATTTAAATCACCACAGATATATTGCATCAACCGAAACACAAAAATTAACATCCGTGTAACAAACGATCAACTGACACGTAATATATATATTGACTTAAGGTTATTTGATTTTCATTAATGGGTATTGTTTTGTTTCCAGAAACCAACGAATGTACGTATTATTTGTTTATGCTTTTCTATTTAGCTGTGGGGGTACGTGCTCAATTTATTTGCATACAACCTTATGAACTTTGTTCAGATTACCAACTGCGCGCTGAGAAACATGGTCGTAAGATTCACGCTACCTATCGCTCAGTGATGTGAGCTTACAAAGGTTCGGAGGTAACGTGAGGATTTTAGAAGGGGAGTTGATTTTTTCTAGGTTGCACTCTATCCAGTGTAAGGCACGTTCAAAGGTATTAATGTTCAAATGTATTAATGTTCAATTGCAGACAGAAAACGTTGGTATAATATAGTGAAAATCGCATTGAAACCCTTGTTGTACGGTGTACAGCTCGGTTGAAATGTTGCGGTACCAGTCAGGGAATTCACGCACAGTTGATGGGTACCACGCAGGGAAGATGGGTACCACGGAGGGAAGATGGGTACCACCAAGAGGTGCGCATGATCTGACGGGTACCATCGAGCCACGTAGGTGACTTTTGACGTCAGCGGGCTCGATGTTGGTTACCCAGAATGTAATTACCCCAAAGTATTCTTTCCCTTCTTACATCGGAAAATAGTTCGGTACTGTATGGGCCAACATTGCATACATGAAACAATTCCTGTTCATACAATTTCCAGAGACGTACTATTCAGATGATAGATATTAAGACAGCAGTATAATTAAATTACAACATGTCCTCGATCTATTGCGTAAAAAAGGAACATCCCTTCCCCAGGGGGCTCAAAACAGCATTTGCTCATCATGCTTCTCTTTATATAATATAGAACTAGACACTGCTTGCGGTACAACTGCTGGTACTGGGTTAGTTTGCAGAGGGTTTCCTCGTCACCATGACGCCAACAACAGCAATTCCTTCCCAAGATCACTCATCCAAATCCTGCGTTCCTCTGACATAATCGACGGCTTCCGCTGACCTTTTCAAGTCAATCGAATTCGTCGAAGCGAGCTTGAAACCCTTTGAACCCGGGTTGACCCTAGCTGCCTCGGTCCGCCCCGCGTTCCCATGTTTCAGAGCGTGGTTGCGTGCTTCATAGAGGGCGGAGTGCACAAGGCGCGGATCCAGGTGACAACTTAGAAAGCTATTGCAAGTTTGGACCGTTGGGATCTTTATACTGTCAACCATCTGTTCTTAAACCTAAGACTTAGTTACAAATAAGAGAGCCTGGCTGGGAGATGAAACGGAGTGCGCGAGTTCCTTGTATAGATTCAGAATCAGACAATCAGTTCAGTTAGTTAGCGTTTGCATTGCACGGAGCCAGTCGTGTTTGATAGCCAGCGTTTGCATGAATTCTCTCATAGCATGAGAACTTCAGAAACCTCTCCATCCTCTCCATCCTCCACCTGTCGTTTCCGTCTCCCCGCTCTCCTCCCCTGCCTCGGCACCCCTCCGCCAGGTGTGGAAGCGGAAGCTTGTGCAGTTAGGGGGGGGAGTCGCAGCAGGCCCCACGGAGGCATGTGTCACGCACGTGCTGGCCGCTGATTGGCGGAAAGTGCAGCAAGCCACCTCGTGGCAAGTCCCTCCATCAGGGGTGAGTGGTTTATTTTTCAATCAACGTGGCGTTTTTTGGTTGAGCATATCCCGAAGTGTTTACCTTGGGGTTGAGTGGGGTGTGAGTGGGGTGTGAGTAGCCGTTTACCATAGTTATTGGGGTGTTGTTTCTGGGGGTGAGTGGAGGTGAGTGACACATTGTCTTTAGAGCTCTGGCTCATTGTGTGTGGAGGTCTCTTACTTGTTCATTGCCCTCTAGTCATTGTCCGTAGGACGTGTTTCCACTAGTCGTTTCTCTTGTTTGCGCTGATCTCTCGGCCTGTCACCACCAGGTGGCAGTGGGGTTTCTGTGGATAGAGAGCTGTCTCAAGAACGGGTCGCGCCTTCCTCTTCTGAGCGACTCTACTGTTCTGATTCCCCTCTTGGTTCCCTGTGTGTGTCCGGCTCCCGCATCCTGCCATCACCGGGTCCCAGTGGTGGAGTTTGCATGGATCGAGAGCAGTCTCAAGCACGGGTCTTGCTCTTCGAGACGTCCTAGAACCCACTCGCACCATTCCTGATATTCCTGTTTCTTCCCCATGCGCACTGTTTTCATGACCTGCCACCGCCAGGTGACAGTGGTGGAGTTCGCATGGATCGAGAGCTGTCTCAAGCACGGATTCTGCCTTCCTTTTCTGAGTGACTCTAGTGTCCTGCTTCCCCTCTTGGTTCCCTGTGTGTGTGTGCTGCTCCCGCAACATGTCATCACCAGGTGGCAGTGGTGGAGTTTGCATGGATCGAGAGCTGTCTAAAGCACGGGTCTCGCCTTCCCGAAGCTAAGTTCTTGCTCCGCGCCTCACACAGTGCCTCACACAACGCCTCGCACGGCCGACAGTCACACCAAGCTGCAGCAACTAGCGTTGGGGGAGATAGCCCCTCCAATGCTGATTTTCCTGCTGGCAGGGAGAGCAGGGATTTTTCTGAGCGAATTAGGAGTGGACACGTGGACGCTGCAGGTGACAGCGCGGGGAGAGATGAGGGGGGTGCGAGGAGTGATGGGGGGGAGTGGAAGGATGAGGAAGGAAATGGGGGAGGTTCGGGTTTGACCTTGGCTCGACAGTTGCCGGAGGGGAGGATAGGAGGAAAGGAGGAGGAGGGGAGTGATGAGGAGGAAGAAAATGGGGCGGCGGTGGGTCATGCTGTCGTCAAAGGTGGGCGGCAGGGTTTGGAGCTTTCTGAGGAGGAGAAGGCGTTTTGGATGGAGGTGATATTTGAGAGTGCAGCATGGGCGGCAGTTGCTGGGGTGGAGGAAGGGGAGGGGCGCGAACGGGGGGTTGGGGGACGGGGGAAGCGGGGATGGGGGGGAGGAGGCAGAGGGGGTGGGAGATGGGGAGGGGGAGGGGGGAAGCGGAGGTTTGTGAGTGGTACAGACAGGTTCGGGGCGGAATGGAAGCGGTGGAATGCGGGGGAAAAAGGGGAGAAGGGGGGAAAGAGAGGCAAGGGGGGAAGCGGAGATGACGAGATTGATGGGGTGGGGGGCATGGGCTTGTCTGGGCGGGTGATTCAGCTGGTGAGGGAGGGGGAGGAGGTGCGGGGTCACACCCAGGGGCTGTGCGTGGCTGGCGGGGAGAGAGAGGATGAGAAAGAGGGTGGGAGGGAGGAAGTGGCGCAGGGGAGGAGGGAGGGTGTGAGGGAGGGGGAGGAGGTGCTGGGTCACACCCAGGGGCTGTGCGTGTCTGGCGGGGAGAGAGAGGATGAGAAAGAGGGTGGGAGGGAGGAAGTGGCGCAGGGGAGGAGGGAGGGTGTGAGGGAGGGGGAGGAGGTGCTGGGTCACACCCAGGGGCTGTGCGTGTCTGGCGGGGAGAGAGAGGATGAGAAAGAGGGTGGGAGAGAGAATGGGGTGGAGAGAGAGCGTGGGGAAGTGGCGCAAGGGGGGAGGGAGGGCGGGACGGAAGGGGAGTCATTTGAAAGCGCAGAGGAGGGCAGGTTAGGCAGGGAGGAACGAGAGGAGGGGAGAAGCAGCGAGGGGAGGGAGAGGGAAAGCAGAGAGCGGAGGGAGAGGGAAAGCAGGGAGGGGAGGGAGTGGGGAAGCAGGGAGGGGGACACACAGAACTCCGACAGTTATGAGCGTATATGTGGGGACTTGCAGAAATTCTCGTGCGGCTATGACAGTGCAGGCTCGCAGGGGCAACGAGATGGGTCGCAGTCTGCGTTGATTGAGCCGTGTGGAGACTCGCAAACGCAGAAGGACTCACAACAGGTCTCACAAAGAGACTCACAGCAGGCCTCGCAAACGATTCAGGACTCACAGAATGATTCGCAGCAGGACTCGCACCGGGCCTCATGCCATGCCTCGCATCAAGACTCGCAAGTCTCAGGGGCGGCTTCAGTCTCAGGGGCGGCTTCAGTCCCAGGGGCGGCTTCAGTCTCAGGGGCGGCTTCAGTCCCAGGGGCGGCTTCAGTCTCAGGGGCGGCTTCAGTCCCAGGGGCGGCTTCAGTCCCAGGGGCGGCTTCAGTCCCAGGGGCGGCTTCAGTCCCAGGGGCGGCTTCAGTCTCAGGGGCGGCTTCAGTCCCAGGGGCGGCTTCAGTCTCAGGGGCGGCTTCAGTCCCAGGGGCGGCTTCAGTCCCAGGGGCGGCTTCAGTCTCAGGGGCGGCTTCAGTCCCAGGGGCGGCTTCAGTCCCAGGGGCGGCTTCAGTCCCAGGGGCGGCTTCAGTCCCAGGGGCGGCTTCAGTCCCAGGGGCGGCTTCAGTCCCAGGGGCGGCTTCAGTCCCAGGGGCGGCTTCAGTCCCAGGGGCGGCTTCAGTCCCAGGGGCGGCTTCAGTCCCAGGGGCGGCTTCAGTCCCAGGGGCGGCTTCAGTCCCAGGGGCGGCTTCAGTCCCAGGGGCGGCTTCAGTCCCAGGGGCGGCTTCAGTCCCAGGGGCGGCTTCAGTCCCAGGGGCGGCTTCAGTCCCAGGGGCGGCTTCAGTCCCAGGGGCGGCTTCAGTCCCAGGGGCGGCTTCAGTCCCAGGGGCGGCTTCAGTCCCAGGGGCGGCTTCAGTCCCAGGGGCGGCTTCAGTCCCAGGGGCGGCTTCAGTCCCAGGGGCGGCTTCAGTCCCAGGGGCGGCTTCAGTCCCAGGGGCGGCTTCAGTCCCAGGGGCGGCTTCAGTCCCAGGGGCGGCTTCAGTCCCAGGGGCGGCTTCAGTCCCAGGGGCGGCTTCAGTCCCAGGGGCGGCTTCAGTCCCAGGGGCGGCTTCAGTCCCAGGGGCGGCTTCAGTCCCAGGGGCGGCTTCAGTCCCAGGGGCGGCTTCAGTCCCAGGGGCGGCTTCAGTCCCAGGGGCGGCTTCAGTCCCAGGGGCGGCTTCAGTCCCAGGGGCGGCTTCAGTCCCAGGGGCGGCTTCAGTCCCAGGGGCGGCTTCAGTCCCAGGGGCGGCTTCAGTCCCAGGGGCGGCTTCATTCCCAGGGGCTGCTTCAGTCCCAGGGGCGGCTTCAGTCCCAGGGGCGGCTTCAGTCCCAGGGGCGGCTTCAGTCCCAGGGGCGGCTTCAGTCCCAGGGGCGGCTTCAGTCCCAGGGGCGGCTTCAGTCCCAGGGGCGGCTTCAGTCCCAGGGGCGGCTTCAGTCCCAGGGGCGGCTTCAGTCCCAGGGGCGGCTTCAGTCCCAGGGGCGGCTTCAGTCCCAGGGGCGGCTTCAGTCCCAGGGGCGGCTTCAGTCCCAGGGGCGGCTTCAGTCCCAGGGGCGGCTTCAGTCCCAGGGGCGGCTTCAGTCTCAGGGGCGGCTTCAGTCTCAGGGGCGGCTTCAGTCTCAGGGGCGGCTTCAGTCTCAGGGGCGGCTTCAGTCCCAGGGGCGGCTTCAGTCTCAGGGGCGGCTTCAGTCTCAGGGGCGGCTTCAGTCTCAGGGGCGGCTTCAGTCCCAGGGGCGGCTTCAGTCCCAGGGGTAGCTTCTGAATCGGCTCAAGGGGCATCGGGGTGGGAGCGATTGCGAGGGCGCGGGTGCTTCTGCCGTGGGCTGTACCTCCCGCCAGACCTGAATAAAGAGATTTGCCAGCAGATGAACGAGTTGAAGAACATCTACAAGGATGGTACGTTGCGGTGCAGTGCGGTGTGGTGTGCGGTGGGATTTGTATGGCGGGATGTGTTTCTGCCGGGGGTTGTACCTCCCGCCTGACCTGAATAAAGAGATTTGCCGGCAGTTGAACGAGTTGAAGAACATTTACAAAGACGGTACGGTGTGTTGCAGTGTGGTGAAGAGGGGTGTGGTGTGTGGCGGGATGGGTATGGGGATGTGCGTCTGACGGGGGCTGTACCTGCCGCCTGCTGGCAGATGAACGAGCTCAAAAACATGTACAAGGATGGTATGGTGCGGTACAGTGCGGTGCAAAGGGGTGTGGTGTGTGGTGGGATGGGTATGGGGATGTGCTTCTGCCGGAGGTTGTACCTGCTGGCTGACTAATGAAGAGAGTTGCCGGCAGATGAACAAGCTCAAGAACATCTACAAGGACGGTACGGTGTGGTACAATGTGGTATGGTGCAAAGGGGTGTGGTGTGTGGCGGTATGGGTATGGGGATGTGCTTCTTCCGGGGGCTGTACCTCGTTCCTGACCTGAATAAGGAGATTTGCCAGCAGATGAACGAGCTCAAGAACATCTACAAGGACGGTACCGTGTGTTGCAGTGCGGTGCAGAGGGGTGTGGCTTGCGGTGGGATAGGTATGATGGGGTGTGTTTCTGCTGGGGGCTGTACCTGCCGCCTGACCTGAATAAGGAAGTTTGTCAACAACGAGCTGAAGAACATATACAAGGACGATACGGTGTGGTGCAAAGAGGTGCGGTGTGCGTGGGATGGGTATGTCGTGTACGGTTCAGGCCTGGGCGACAAGTGGCAGTGGTTCTACAAGGCCGTCAGCGTGCTTGGGAAGCTGCCCTCCTCTTTCCACTCCCCTCCCTCTTTCCGCGCTTCCCCCTCTTCCGTCGTCCCTCTCCCCCCATTCACTCCCTCAGGCCTGGGCGACAAGTGGCAGTGGTTCTACAAGGCCCTCAGCGTGCTTGGGAAGCTGCCCTCCTCTTTCCACTCCCCTCCCTCTTTCCCCGCTTCCCCCTCTTCCGTCGTCCCTCTCCCCCCATTCACTCCCTCAGGCCTGGGCGACAAGTGGCAGTGGTTCTACAAGGCCCTCAGCGTGCTTGGGAAGCTGCCCTCCTCTTTCCACTCCCCTCCCTCTTTCCCCGCTTCCCCCTCTTCCGTCGTCCCTCTCCCCCCATTCACTCCCTCAGGCCTGGGCGACAAGTGGCAGTGGTTCTACAAGGCCCTCAGCGTGCTTGGGAAGCTGCCCTTCAACTCCCATCCCTCTCCCTTCACGCATATCTCCCTTCTTCTTCCCCGCTCTCCCCCTTGCCCCCCACCCTCGGTTCAGGTCTGGGCGACGAGTGGCGGTGGTTCAGCTACTACAAGGCACTCAGCGTGCTCGAGAAGCTTCCCTTCTGTTTCCACTTCCCTTCCTGCCTATTTCCCCACATCCCCCTCACTTCTCTTCCCTCTCCCCCCCTTCGCTCCCCAGGCCTGGGCGACGAGTGGCGGTGGTTCAGCTACAAGGCTCTCAGCGTGCTCGAGAAGCTGCCCTTCTGGCTCACTTTTGCCCCTTCCGCCTATTCCGCCTCTTTCCCCTGCTTCCCCCGTGCCACTCTCCCCCCCAAAGGCCTGGGCGACGAGTGGCGGTGGTTCAGCTACTACAAGGCACTCAGCGTGCTTGAGAAGTTGCCCTTCCGCATCCGCTCCGCTCAGCAGGTGCAGGGGCTGCCCAGCATAGGGTCTTCACTGCAGGGCAAGGTGAGGGAGAGTTGGTTAGTGGGAGGGACTTGCAGGGCAAGGCGAGTGTTGCAGAGCAACTCCAAGTGCAGAAGCTGCCTGGCATCGGGCTGTGACTGCACAGCAAGGTGAGTGGCGAAGGAGTTGGGTCGTGGGGATGGATGGTGGGATGTGTAGCACAAGGGGAGCGAGAAGGAGCTGGGTAATGGGGATAGAGGGGGGACTTGTAGGGCCAAGGAGAGAGAGGGAAGGTGTAATCTTTGCTCCCTTGTTTGAAGACGTGAGGGAGGGGGATGGTGATACTGGTTGTGGGAGACAAACGCTTGTTTGAAGTCTGTTGATTTTTCGTGTTCCTTGAATGCCGTGTTTTTTCTAAGCCTGTTCTTTGCATGTGTCCATGTGTGCATGGTGCTGCCCACGTGCATGCATGCTAGCCCCCGTGCATGCATGCTGCCCACGTGCATGCATGCTGCCCACGTGCATGCATGCTGCCACCCACGTTGCAGATTCAGGAAATACTGTCCTACGGCATGATCAAGAAGCTGCGGGCGTATCAAGCCGACGAAATGGTGAGGTGAATGTATGAAACGAAATGATTGGGAGAGGAGGAGGGGGAGTGAGTGAGATAGGCCGGATCCTTGCTCCCTGCCTGCCCCCCCCGGGGAGGGGATTGCCTGCCCCCACTGCTGCCATTGCGACCCACAGGCCCTCGTCCCCACGGACGACTGCCACGTCTACTTCTCCCTGTTTTGAGACGTCTCAGAAATCATGCATATGCTGCGCGCACCTGTGAAAGACCGCCACATATACTCTTCCTTCCACTGATCGCTGCAGCACCTCTCATGCATTCCCTCTCTCTCCGTACCCTCCCTTCCTTCTCTGTCCCTCTCTCTCTCCCTCTCAGGTCCGCACGCTCGCTCTCTTCGGCACGGTCTGGGGCGTGGGTCCCCGCACCGCTTGCCGATTCTACTCCACCGGCCACCGTTCGCTGCACCAGTTCCCATGCATTCCCTCTTTATTATGCATGCCCACAGGTTCGCACGCTCGCTCTCTTTGGCACGGTCTGGGGCGTGGGGCCTCGCACCACCCGCCGATTCTACTCCGCCGGCCACCGCTCGCTGCGCCAGCTGGCAGGCGACCCGGGGCTCACGCCAACTCAGCGAATCGCGCTGCGGTTCCACGAGGATATGAACAAGCGCATCCCGAGGGATGAGGTGGCCGCGATGGCAGCTCTGGTGGTGCAGGAGGGAGAGGCTCTGCAGCCAGGGGTGAGTCTCGGTTGGGGCAAGTTTTGATCCTATGCCTCTCACACCCCCTCATTCCACGAGGATATGAACAAGCGCATCCCGAGGGACGAGGTGGCGGCAATGGCAGCTCTGGTGGTGCAGGAAGGAGAGGCGCTGCAGCCAGGGGTGGGTCGTGGTTGGGATGGGTGCTCCGCCGGGTGGGCGGTGCTGCTTGGGGTGGGTTGCACTGCGGTTCCACAGGGTCATCAACAGGCTCATCCCGAGGGATTGGGTGGCGGCAATGGCAGCTCTGGTGGTGAAGGAAGGAGAGGCGTTGCAACCATGGGTGGGTGCTGCTTGGATTGGGTTGGGCGGGTTGCACTGCGGTTCCACGAGGGTATCAAGATTCGCATCCCGAGGGATGAAGTGGCGACGATGGCAGCTCTGGTAAGCAAGGAGAGGCTTTGCAGCCAGGGGTGGGTGCTGCTTGGGGTGGGTGCAGCTCGTGGCTACTCTTGTTTGAGGCAGGATGTGTGTGATCTCTTGTTTGAGGCTGATCCTGCATGCCATACATGCACATCCATGCACGCCCTTCACGCCCCTCACACGCATGTGTGCAGATCTCAATCATCTGTGGCGGGTCGCGTGTTTGAAGAAGTGTTTTGAGGCATCTCAAAACACTTCTTCTCAAAACACTTCTTCTCAAAACACTTCTTCTCAAAACACTTCTTCTCAAAACACTTCTTCTCAAAACACTTCTTCTCAAAACACTTCTTCTCAAAACACTTCTTCTCAAAACACTTCGTCTCAAAACTCTTCTTCTCAAAACACTTCTTCTCAAAACACTTCTTCTCAAAACACTTCTTCTCAAAACACTTCTTCTCAAAACACTTCTTCTCAAAACTCTTCTTCTCAAAACACTTCTTCTCAAAACACTTCTTCTCAAAACACTTCTTCTCAAAACTCTTCTTCTCAAAACACTTCTTCTCAACACACTTCTTCTCAAAACACTTCTTCTCAAAACACTTCTTCTCAAAACACTTCTTCTCAAAACACTTCTTCTCAAAACTCTTCTTCTCAAAACACTTCTTCTCAAAACACTTCTTCTCAAAACACTTCTTCTCAAAACACTTCTTCTCCAAACACTTCTTCTCAAAACACTTCTTCAAACACGTGGCTCTTCACGCCCGTCACGCGCATGTGTGCAGATCTCAATCATCTGTGGCGGGTCGTACCGTCGAGGCAAGGCGACATCAGGCGACATGGACTTCATCATCACACACCCGGACGGTGCCAGGTGCGTGAGTGTGTGTGTGTGCGCTGGGGGCGACATGGAGTGTTGCCAGTGCAAGGCGACATCAGGCGACATGGACTTCATTATCACACACCCGGATGGTGCCAGGTGCGTGAGTGTGTGTGTGTGCGCTGGGGGCGACATGGAGTGTTGCCAGTGCAAGGCGACATCAGGCGACATGGACTTCATTATCACACACCCGGACGGTGCCAGGTGTGTGTGCGGGGAGAGGGTGTGGTGTGTGCTGGGGCCGTGCATGTGCCCAGAGTGTTGCCAGTGCAAGGCGACAGCAGGCGACGTGGACTTCATTATCACACACCCGGACGGTGCCAGGTGGGTGTGCGCTGGTGGGGGTGTGTGTTGGGGCGGTGCATATTGGAAAACGTGTGTGGGTGTGTGGGTACTGGGATGGGAGCTTTTTGTGGTGGCGACATCAGGCGACATGGACTTCATTATCACACACCCAGATGCTCAGGGGTGTGTGTGTGTGTGTGGGTGGGTGTGTGTGTGTGTGTGTGGGTGTGTGTGTGGGTGTGTGTGTGTGAGTGTGTGTGTGCACATCCCCCCACAATGCTTCCATGTCCCCCCGCAATGCTTCGAATCCTCCCCCCACATCTCCCTCTCACCACAGTCATCACGGCTTCCTGGAGAGGCTGGTGTGTCGTCTGAAGCACGTGGGATTCGTGACAGAAGACCTGATGGTCCCTCCTTCTGCTTCTCCCACCACATCTCCTTCAACTCCCACATCTCCTTCACCTGCTGTGCCCACCCCAAAATCTCCTTGTCTTCTCACCGCAGTCATCACGGCTTCCTGGAGAGGCTGGTGTGTCGTCTGAAGCACGTGGGATTTGTAACAAAGGACCTCGTTGTCCCCTCCATCTCCTTCTCCGTCTCCTATCCGTCCCGCTGTGCCCACCCCACATCGCCCTCACATGTAATCGCAGCCATCGCGGCTTCTTAGACAGGCTGGTGGGTCGACTGAAGCACGTGGGGTTGGTGGTCTCGTCTGACAGAGGTCCCGGTGGTCACCCCTTGTCCTTCTCCTTCCCATCCCGTCCAAACTCATGGCGGGAGTAGCAGCAAACCAAGAGAAAACGCTTAAGCAATAGGATCAAGACTGGTGGTCTGGTCTGACAGAGGTCCTACTGGTCACCCCTTTACCTTCTGCTTCCCATCTCGTCCTGCTCTGCCCCCGCTCCACATCTCTCTGTCATCTTGCCACACCATCGCGGGTTCCTGGACAGGCTGGTTTCTCGTCTGAAGCAAGTGAGCTTCCTGACAGACGACCTGATGGTCGGCACGCACCACTCACAGCAGGTGAGCCTTCATCAATGCTTGGGGGTCTGTCTGTGAGGGCGCGAAAGGGACGTGAATCAGAGGTTGATGGTGTGTCGCTTGAAGCACGTGGGGTTTCTAACAGAAGACGTGATGGTTGGCACTCACCACTCACAGCAGGTGGCATACTCTCTGTGCTAAGGTACACAAGGATGAGGGTCTAGGGTGCGTGCGAGGATGTAGCGATGGACTATCGCGTGTGTCGACTGAAGCATGTGGGCTTTTTAACAAAAACCTGGTGGTGGGTGCACACCACTCGCAGCAGGTGATGCGCTCTCACTGATCGAGGATGTGAGGTGTAGGGAGGCAGCAACGGTATACGAACTGAAACACATTTTTCTTCCTTTCCTTGCCTCCTTCATTTCCCCCAACAGCCCCACGGGGAGGGCAAGGGTGTGGACACCTTCTTTGGGCTGTGCAAGCAGGCGGGCAGGGAGCAGCGACACCGAATAGACTTCAAGGTACTGCCACTGCTGTCCCCGCTGTGTAATCCTCTTGAAGCGCCTCAAATGTCGTCTTCTGAGGCGCCTAAGAAAGGCAAGCAGGCGGGCAGGGAGCAGCGGCGCCGTATCGACTTTTAGGTGCTGCGACTGGTGCCACTGCTGCGTTATCCTCCTGTGGTTGCTGGGGAACCGGAATAAGGATCTTCTCATGTGCTTGTACCTGTTTACTGAATCGTTCGTGCTTCTCTGCCTATGCAAACAGTATTCGTTTTGCTTCATATTGCCTGGAATGTGGTTTCTATTTATTTTAGTCAATACACGGATACAAATCCGTGTGGAGGTGTAGTTAAGAGAGCAGTATCCGTTTGACGTCATACAATATGGATTGTAGTGAAGCCAATGGATGCACATTTTTCCTTATATTCTATGTGTTGTTCTCCTGCAGGTGTACCCATGGGAGCAGTACCCTTTCGGGCTCATCCAGTGGACGGGCAACGATGTGCTCAATCGACGGTGAGGATCGTAGGATGGATGGTGTAGGGCTCGGAATGGACGGCTAAGATGGTGAGGCGGCAGCATTAGGCATCAAGGAGGGTGGGGAGATCGGAATGGATGGCCGGGATAGCAAGTTGTTTGCCATGGGCGGGGAAGGCTTCGCGATATTCAGGCATCTCGAGGTTTGGCAGTTACTATGTTGAATCGGATCACTTGTTACAGAACAAAAATATTGTTTTGAGTCGACTCAAAATATGGCTGTGCGATACCCAGGCATCTCCAGGTTTGGTAGTTACTATGTTGAATCGGATCACTCGTTACAGAACAAAACAAATACAAATGCATCATAAGAGTAAGAGCATCCAGGAGGACGGGGTTGATGACATTCTGACACCCAAGCCCTTGTCCCTCCATTACCCACCGTGCCCCCCTTGCCCCCCACCCACCCAGCATGCGGCTGTTTGCAGAGGCAAAGGGGTACCGACTGGGTGACCATGGGCTTGTGCTGTAAGATGCACATCCATGCCCTTTTCTCTCCTCTTCCACGCGTGTGACGTGTCCCCCACCCACCCATGCATGCCCCCCACCCACCCAGCATGCGGCTGTTTGCAGAGGCAAAGGGGTACCGACTGGACGACCATGGGCTCGTGCTGCGAGATGCTGTGAGTTGATACAATTTCTGGGGCACCAAGAATATGCGAGATGCTGTGTTACATGCCTCCCATCCCATACCTCCCAACCCATGCCGTATGCATCAGTTGCATCCCCAGATTTCAGTAACTCACATCCCCAACAAGATTGCACACATGCTATTCTTACCCCGTCACCCCCAACGGAATTACTCTCATGTTATTCCCATTTGGTATAGGAGTCAACTCAATCCGCCTGTATTCTCTCTGACTTGCTGGTCTTACGCCATCACCCGCTTGCAGGTACCAGCCACTGCGGCAGGCAAGTCAGTGCCGTGCGGGAGTGAGAGGGCGGTGTTTGACTTCTTGGGATTGCCGTGGCTGGAACCTCACGAGCGCAACCTGTGATTGCAAAGGTTGAAATTGAATTCCTTATACTGTACATGCTGCTGCTGCTGATGATGCTGCTGTTGCTGATGCTGCCACTGCTGCAGTGCCCTGTTGAATCCCTGCGACTGCCGTGGCTGGAACCTCACGAGCGCAACCTCTGACAGCAGAGCAGCATCCTAGAATGTTGCAGAGCTTCTGAAAGGATTCTCTCAGACCGGTACATGCTGTTGCTGCAGCTGCCGCTGCTGGAGTGCTTCGTTGGCTTCTTGAGACTGACGTGGCTGGAGCCTCATCATGTGCGCAAGCTGTGACAGCAGAAAGTTCCAATAAAACCTTTATATGCGTGCTGCTGCGGCTGCTGATAGGAATCCCAAACGTGATGCAGCTGCCGCTGCTAAGGTGATCTGTTGACTTCATGAGCCTGCCGTGGCTGGAGCCTCGTCATGTGCGCAAGCTGTGACAGCAGACGTTGAGAAAGCTAAAAAAAAACCCCTTATGCGTGCTGCGGCTGTTGATAGGAATCCCAAATGTGCTGCTGCTGGCGCTGCTGCTGCTGCCGCTGACAGATTATGCTGCTGCTGCTGATTGTGGATAGTGGTGCATCGTCCTGTGGAAGTGCAGCACCAAGATACCGATTTAGCAGCATCAGTGATTTATAGCAGCAATTTCACAACAAAAGAAGCAGGCTTTCGGCAAAGCTGGATGCATGAGTACTGTGGGTACCGTATATCTCCATCCATGGCAAGTTTCACGCGCGGTTTAGTCATGGCAAGAAGCAGAGTCTGCAACTTGGCATCTTCAATTGGATTTGTGAAAATTTATGCAGGGGCTCTAGCAAGTGCTGAGCCTCACACTCTCTGATCCAGACAAAAGCCAATTGTTGAAAGGCCAATAGTAGTAAATAGCTGAAGCAGGCCAGTGGAGGAAACCATACATCCAATGGACAATGGACATTAGCACACCAACCAACAAAACCAAAATTCCTGCCTGGCATTCCCTGCAGCATCCCACTGTGTCCCTGTGCGCCTGTTGCAGGAGCTTAGACAGCCCCTAGGTGATTCAGGCAGCTCAGGCAGACCAGGCACTTCAATTCAAACCCTCTCAGGCAGATCAGACAGCAGGCAGTTCAGGTGGTATCGGCGGTGTGAGCGGTTTCATTCATCTCAGCTTGCAGCTGGGGGGTTTAAGCACCTTGGAGGCGATCTTCTCCTTGGACTTGTGCAGCTTGAGCACCTTCTTCTTCAGTATCTGTGTCTTGAAATGTCTCAGAACACGCTTGAGCACCTTATTCACAATCTTCTGCTCCTCCACCAGGAATGCGCGGATGATTCTGTGGAAGGGCATGCAGCGAGGGAGACGGAGAGAAACGGTGAAGAGAGTCGCAGGGGCGGTGATGGGCAGACGAGAATGAATGGAGAAGGAAAGAGTGGGAAACGGCGGATTATGGCGTTGGAGGGAGGTAACGCGGGGAGGGGAATAGGGCAGAGGTGAATTGGGGTGGGGGGAGGAGGAGGTGCGTAAATGGAAGGACAGAACGTGGGCTCAGGGCAGAATGACGATGTCAGGGAAAGGGTGATGAGACAGTGGGGCAAACGAGTGCTATCAGTGAGCTTCCTCACCCTTCCTCCCCCTTCCCTCCACCTTCCTTCCGCCATCCTTCCCCTCCTTCCCCTCCCCTTCCCCTCCTTCCCCTCCTTCCCCTCCTTCCCCTCCCCTTCCCCTCCTTCCCCTCCCCTTCCCCTCCTTCCCCTCCTTCCCTTCCCCTTCCCCTCCTTCCCCTCCTTCCCCTCCTTCCCCTCCTTCCCCTCCTTCCCCTCCTTCCCCTCCTTCCCCTCCTTCCCCTCCTTCCCCTCCTTCCCCTCCTTCCCCTCCTTCCCCTCCTTCCCCTCCTTCCCTCCTTCCCCTCCTTCCCCTCCCCTTCCCCTCCTTCCCCTCCCCTTCCCCTCCTTCCCCTCCCCTTCCCCTCCTTCCCCTCCCCTTCCCCTCCTTCCCCTCCCCTTCCCCTCCTTCCCCTCCCCTTCCCCTCCTTCCCCTCCTTCCCCTCCTTCCCCTCCTTCCCCTCCTTCCCCTCCTTCCCCTCCTTCCCCTCCTTCCCCTCCTTCCCCTCCTTCCCCTCCTTCCCCTCCTTCCCCTCCTTCCCCTCCCCTTCCCCTCCTTCCCCTCCTTCCCCTCCTTCCCCTCCCCTTCCCCTCCTTCCCCTCCTTCCCCTCCCCTTCCCCTCCTTCCCCTCCTTCCCCTCCTTCCCCTCCCTTCCCCTCCTTCCCCTCCTTCCCCTCCTTCCCCTCCCCTTCCCCTCCTTCCCCTCCCCTTCCCCTCCTTCCCCTCCCCTTCCCCTCCTTCCCCTCCCCTTCCCCTCCTTCCCCTCCCTTCCCCTCCTTCCCCTCCCCTTCCCCTCCTTCCCCTCCTTCCCCTCCTTCCCCTCCTTCCCCTCCTTCCCCTCCTTCCCCTCCTTCCCCTCCTTCCCCTCCTTCCCCTCCTTCCCCTCCTTCCCCTCCTTCCCCTCCTTCCCCTCCTTCCCCTCCTTCCCCTCCTTCCCCTCCTTCCCCTCCTTCCCCTCCTTCCCCTCCTTCCCCTCCTTCCCCTCCTTCCCCTCCCTTCCCCTCCCCTTCCCTCCTTCCCCTCCTTCCCCTCCTTCCCCTCCTTCCCCTCCCCTTCCCCTCCTTCCCCTCCTTCCCCTCCTTCCCCTCCTTCCCCTCCTTCCCCTCCTTCCCCTCCTTCCCCTCCTTCCCCTCCCCTTCCCCTCCTTCCCCTCCCCTTCCCCTCCTTCCCCTCCCCTTCCCCTCCTTCCCCTCCCCTTCCCTCCTTCCCCTCCCCTCCCCTCCTTCCCCTCCTTCCCCTCCTTCCCCTCCTTCCCTCCTTCCCTCCTTCCCCTCCCTTCCCCTCCTTCCCCTCCTTCCCCCTCCTTCCCCTCCCCTTCCCCTCCTTCCCTACTTCCCCTCCTTCCCCTCCTTCCCCTGCTTCCCCTCCTTCCCCTCCCCTTCCCCTCCTTCCCCTGCTTCCCCTCCTTCCCCTCCCCTTCCCCTCCTTCCCCTCCCCTTCCCCTCCTTCCCCTCCTTCCCTCCTTCCCCTCCCCTTCCCCTCCTTCCCCTCCTTCCCCTCCTTCCCTCCTTCCCCTCCTTCCCCTCCTTCCCCTCCTTCCCCTCCTTCCCCTCCTTCCCCTCCTTCCCCTCCTTCCCCTCCTTCCCCTCCTTCCCCTCCTTCCCCTCCTTCCCCTCCTTCCCCTCCTTCCCCTCCTTCCCCTCCTTCCCCTCCTTCCCTCCTTCCCCTCCTTCCCCTCCTTCCCCTCCTTCCCCTCCTTCCCCTCCTTCCCCTCCTTCCCCTCCTTCCCCTCCTTCCCCTCCTTCCCCTCCTTCCCCTCCTTCCCCTCCTTCCCCTCCTTCCCCTCCTTCCCCTCCTTCCCCTCCTTCCCCTCCTTCCCCTCCTTCCCCTCCTTCCCCTCCTTCCCCTCCTTCCCCTCCTTCCCCTCCTTCCCCTCCTTCCCCTCCTTCCCCTCCTTCCCTCCTTCCCCTCCTTCCCCTCCTTCCCCTCCTTCCCCTCCTTCCCCTCCTTCCCCTCCTTCCCCTCCCCTTCCCCTCCTTCCCCTCCCCTTCCCCCTTCCCCTCCCCTTCCCTCCCCTTCCCCCCTTCCCCTCCCCTTCCCTCCCCTTCCCCTCCCCTTCCCTCCCCTTCCCCCCTTCCCCTCCCCTTCCCTCCCCTTCCCCCCTTCCCCTCCCCTTCCCTCCCCTTCCCCCCTTCCCCTCCCCTTCCCTCCCCTTCCCCCCTTCCCCTCCCCTTCCCTCCCCTTCCCCCCTTCCCCTCCCCTTCCCTCCCCTTCCCCCCCCCTTCCTTCCCCTCCTTCCCTCCTTCCCTCCCCTTTCATTTCCCTCCTTCCCCTCCCCTTCCCTCCCCTTCCCCCCTTCTCTCCCTTCCCCACCATTTCCCTCCTTCCCCTGCCCTTCCCTCCCCTTCCCCCCTTTCCCTCCCCTTCCCTCCCCTTCCCCCCCGTTCCTTCCCCTCCTTCCCTCCTTCCCTGCTTCCCTCCCCTTTCATTTCCCTCCTTCCCCTCCCCTTCCCTCCCCTTCCCCCCTTCGCTCCCTCTTCCCCACCTTGCTTCCCGCGCCTCACCTCTCGCGCACGCATTTCCCGCAGATGGCGCCGCCGTAGATGCGCGTGGCGCCCTTCTGCTTGCGCGACATCAGGTTGCGCGTGAGCTTGTGCGCGGGAAGCGCGGGGACCTGCGCCGATGGGGGGAAGCGCAGGCAGAAATGCGAAGACGCGGGCATGGGAGCGAAACCCTCAGACGTGCTGAGGAAGACTTTCGAGTCGACTCAAATGTCGAAACCCTCGAATGCTGGGAGATTAGCGGAGAGGGGGAGGAGGGGGGAGATGAGGGGGGGGCGGGAGGGGGGGGAGGATGAGCGGAGAACGGGGGGTGGGGACGAGAGAGAAGGGGAAGGAAATGGGGGAGGGAGGGGGAAGGGGAGGGTTGGGGAGAAAGCGAGGGGAGGGGAAGGGGAGGGGAAGGGGGGGGGGGGGGCGGGGGGGGGGGAAACGGGGAAAGAAGGCGGTCCGCCACGTTGCCTCTCACCAGTCTTCTGTCACGAGGTGCAAAACGGAGAAGGGGGTTCAACGAGGAGCCTCAGCGTTACCGCTCGCCACAGCGTCGTCTCTCGCCACGGAAAAATGGCCTCCCGCCAGGTTCTGACCATCTCATTCCCGCTACCTTCGCCTCCCCTCTTTCTCCCCCAACCATCGTGTGCAAACGCGATCCTGAGGCTTTCCAGAAACGCGCCATCCTGAGGCTTCCTCCGCCTGCCTAACGGACCCAGGCGACGCACTGAAGCGACGCTAACAAGCATCTAAAATAAATACTGAGAATGAGTCCGCAAACTGAGATCGCTACCTTTTCCAAACAACGTCAGGTATAAACAACTAGTGACTACCAGTCAAACGCCTGAATCGCGCAACTTACACCACGCCATAAAAAAACCCGATATGAATGATAGTTACGGTAGCAGACGTGTGAAGGACCACGGATAGCGCGACTGTCATTAGCTAGACTTAAGTCGCCACTGACACTAAAGTCGCGGCTTTAGGATCAAGACGAAAGGCTAACCTATTACCGAGTAGATCTGACGAATGCGACGCGAAACTAATCCAAGGTGCCTCAATCTGACGAAACTAACTTTAGGTAATCCAAGCCACCCTTGACGAGCATAACTAGGCAACGAGGGTTCGAAGAATGAGGTGCGGGAGATGGAAGAATGTGAGGTGGATGATTGAGGTTGTTGATAAGGTTGTGCTAGCTGGCTGTGCCACGATAACAAAAACGCCCTTCACTGCTATTGGCTCGCGCAAATTTCTTGTCAAGCATCCCTTGCATTTTCAGCTGCCCAGCACGGATTGCGAGCAGCAAAACCGGTTGCGAGGGCAGCTGAATAGCTGCTTGTTCAATCACGCACAAATTTCTGGACCATCCCAACCAACGCCGTCCCGCACGTCACGCAGCAAAATTTCGTCGGCGAGAAGAGAATAATTACCAAATGCCACGGCTCCTAACAAGTTCCAGCCCGCCCTAGGTCCATCCGTGCCAAACATATTCCATCCATCATCCAAACCTGGGTGGATGCCAAAACTCTACAACAGCACTACGCGCCATCGACAGTTTCGATTGCAACAAACTAGACGAAACCAAACTAAACCTGCATGTGTGAACCAAGGCACAGCCCAACTTGACAACAATTGTGTGTGTGTTTCGAACCCAATCTAAACTTGGGTAGGTATTGGATCCGCTCGTACAGCGTACAAAAATTGTGTCGCCGCAAAAAGTCCGCCGCTCGAATTTCCCTCCTGAGGCATCCAGTGTCTGCCGTCATGGGCGGGGAAATTTGTTGGCCCACAATTACACACACCATCACCATGCCAGGCCACGATGCAACATCCATACCATATCATGGCTCAAAGCAAATCGCACCGTTCAAGGAGATACTCCACCACCATCTCCAACTGTTCATACTGTTCCTACAGATATCCGCGCTATGGCCGCCAAATTTACAGCACAGCATTGCGTCGCACCGCACTGCACCCAGCAAACGGAGCCAAACTGGGTAAACATTTCACCAGTGCCACACCTCAATACTTCCTGACACCCACCACAATTGGTTTGAAAACATCACCATGCCATGCCATGAAGCCACATCCATACCATGGTTCAAAGCAGATCGTCACCGTTCGAGGCGTAACTCCACCACCATCCAAGTGTTCATATTGTTCCAAGTATCCGCGCCGTAGCCGCCAATGCAGCACCGTGTCGCGTCGCACCGCACTGCAGCCGAGCCAAACTGGTTAAACATTTCAGAACTTCCACACGATATGGTTTGAAACCGCTCTACTTCGCGCGCAGCGGCCGCCACCCAACCCGACTAAGCGACTCTTGCCAGGGAAAGGTAGAGTCGGAAGAACATGGATCACCGAGGACGCTTCTACTCGTGTTTCAGCGCGCCACCGCTTCTCCCACCAGCTCCATCATTCCCACACATCCCTTCCATGACTACTTATGAACCATTGTGTTCACCGAACAAGCTAATCTTTCCGAAAGGCTTCCGGCTAGTACTGGCGAAAACCCAATGGCACGCGGCAGCGTTGAGAGTCTATAGAGTGGGTGTCGGGACGGGTTGGGTAGAGAGTCGTGAGAGAGCGAGCTGCCTGCTGCCTGGGTTGAACCTTTACTACGCTAGTTGCCTGAGGAAGATTCTGTTCCACGGCGAGTCTCTTGAAACCGATCTCCACGGCCGGGCGAAATCTTCACGGCGGAATGGTGGTCCTTCTCGCGTGGCGCATGGTGGCGGAATCTCTGCCGTCGGACGGCGCTTCTCCCATCACACGACGAACGGCGCACGGTTTTATTTCTCTTCTTCGTCATCGTTCCTTTCAGCTTTTTTCCAGCTTTATTATCATTCCGCTTGTTCGTTTCTTATTCTTATCCTTCTCGAGATCACTTACTTACTTGGATTATTCTTGGTGCGTTCAGCAGGAGGAGTCCAGGAGGAGTCGCGCTGGTGGTGTGCGAAGCGTGTGGAGCGAGGAGCACAACTTCACGGCGCGACGTTCGCGGCGGAATGGTGGTCCTTCTCGCGTGGCGCATGGTGGCGGAATCTCTGCCGTCGGACGGCGTTTTTCCGAGGACGACGCACGGCGCACGGTTTTATTTCTCTTCTTCGTCATCGTTTCTTTCAGTTTTTTTTCAGCTTCATTGTTTTTTAGCTTGTTCGTTTCTTATTCTTAACCTTCTCGATATCACTTACTTACTTCGTTTTTTCTTGGTGCGTTCAGCACGAGGAGTCCAGGAGGAGTCGCGCTGGTGGTGCGCGAAGCGGGTGGAGCGAGGAGCACACGTACGACTTCACCTTGGTAAGTGTCGTCCATTTTTGGTGTTTTTATTTATCCGATTTACTTACGTCTTTCGTTTTCACTTTGTGCGTGTTAGGCAGGCGGAGCAACCAACGAAGATGAAGACCGACCAACGAGACAAGACTTCGCCTTGGTAAGTTTTGTCCATTTTTAGTGTTTCTGTTTATCTGATTTACTCACGTCTTTCCTTTTCTCCTTGTGCGTGTTAGACAGACGGAACAACGAAGGTGAAGACCGAAGAACGAGGAGAGAAGACTTCGCCTTGAAGCTGGAGGAGCATGGAGCAAGGACTCTCGCGGCGGACCTCTCTCACACGGTAGTGTTGTATTTTTTTCCTGATGGCTTTGTTTTATAAGATACTAACGTCTTTTTCAGTCGTTCTCTGTCGTGCAGGAAGTCGGGAGCTAAGGAGCAGCGCAAAGCGAGGATCGAACGAGGACCAACAAGGAGAAGCAAGGAGCAACGAGGAGCTTGACTCCCCGCTTCCCCTCCTTCCCTTTCTCAGAAGGTGGAGCAACAACTGCAGCAGCAGCAGCACATGGTTACCGGTGGGCCGTATAGGAGCGTTAGATCAGACCGTAGGAGCGTTAGATCAGCCACAGACTGGACAGACGAGGGCGGTGTGGGCTGGGTGGTTAGGCGATGGGGGACGCGACGCGACTGGGTGGGTAGGCGATGGGGACGCGACGCGACTGGGTGGGTAGGCGATGGGTTTCCTCCTCCTCTTTACTCCCGCCACTTTTTGTGGCTCACCGCGGCAACCTGACAACCTGACAACAGAGAAGCTACTTCAAGCTCCGAGGTGTTCTCCGCTCGCTGGCATTTACATTAATCCTACTAACCGTCCCTCCTCTTTGTTTTAGTGTTTTTCTTGCAGGTTCCCTAACGAAGGACCTCCACCTCATCGTGGTGTTAGGGTGAACGCTAGAGGCTTGTCCTCTAGCGGCCAAGAGGGGTCCATGCGAAGACCGAAGACCAAGGTCCATTGAACACTTCTCTCCAAGCATCGAAGTTCAAGAGTCCAAGATCCAAGTTCCAGTATAGAAGATTCCAATTGAAGTTTTCTCTACATTCTAGAAGTTTCTGGAGCTGATATGTAAGAATCTTAGGTGGAGTTTAGATCTTTGTACGACTTCATCATTATTATTGAAGTTTGGTTTTGCTGTTTCAACTTTATTGAGTAAACTTAATGGAACAAAAAAATCCCGGACCAGTCTTGGTGTTTGTTATTTTTAGCAGTGCAGTGAGCTTGCTTGCTGCTGATCCGCTATCAGGAATTCTATTCCATCACCTGGTCTCTCTGTGACCTGTAGGTTGGAAGCAAGCAAGCAAGCAAGGTGGTTTTCAAGTCAAAATACTAAGCAAAGCCAATAGCTGAAGCGGGACAGTGGCGTAAACCATACTTGCTTACTAACCTTACATCCAATGAACAATGGACATTAGCGCACCAACGAAACCAAAATTTCTGCCTAACATTCCCTGCGGCATCTCACTGTCTACGCGCCTACTGCAGGAGCTTAACCCTGTGGTGGTAACCCAGGCACCTCAGGCACTTCAAACCCGTTCAGGCAGTTCAGAAACGTAGGCAGTTCAGGTGGTTTCGGCGGTGTGTGCAGTTTCATTCAGCTGAAAGGTTTAAGCGGGGACCTTGGAGGCAATTTTCTCCTTGGACTTCTGCAGCTTGAGCACCTTCTTTACGATCTTCTGCTCCTCCACCAGGAATGCGCGGATGATTCTGTTTGGCCATGTGATGTGTAGAGGAACAATGCAAAGAGAGAAGGTTAGGGTTAGAAGATGATTCTGTGCAAGGGGATGCAGCGAGGGAGGCGGAGAGAACCGTGAACAGAGTCGCAAGAGTGGTGATGGGCAGAGGAGAATGAATGTGAAGGGGAGAGCGGGAAACGGCGTACGGGGATCAGGGGACGGGGAATGGGGCAGGGGGGAATCGAGGAGGTGGGGGATGGGGGCGGAGGGGCGTAAGTGAAAGGACAGAACGTGGGCTCAGGGCAGAAGGACGTTGACCGGAAAATGGTGAAGAGGAAATGAGGCAAAGGAGTGCTATAGCGGTGAACTTGCTTTTCCCCTTGCATCAGCTTCCGCGTACAAGCATCTCTTCGTCTCCCCTTCCTCCCCCATCCCCTCTCGCTTCCCCCTTCCTCTCCCCTTCATTCTGCCTTGCTTCCGCCATCCTTCCGATTCCCCCTAACTGATCCCTTCCATTCCCCTCCGCCGCCTTTTGCATCCTTATGCATTCTACCTCCCGCGATCTGGCGCTTCTTTCACCCGCATCATTTCTAGCACCCCGCGCACCGCGCATCCCGCGTCTATCCCCTTCCGTCTTACCCCGTGCGACCCCCTTCCATTTCCCTCCTCCCCCTCCCATTCGCTCCCCTCCTCTCCCCCCTTCTCTCCCTCTTTCCCACCTTGCTCCCCGCGCCTCACCTCTCGCGCACGCATTTCCCGCAGATGGCGCCGCCGTAGATGCGCGTGACGCTCTTCTGCTTGCGCGACATCAGGTTGCGCGTGAGCTTGTGCGCGGGGAGCGCGGGGACCTGCGCGCATGGGGGAACGCGCAGGCGGAACGGGAACGGGAACGAAACAGTCAGACGCGCTGCAGAACGCCGTGCGACACATAAGCGCGCGCGCGGGCAGCGGGACTTGACCATGTCGCGCGATATTAAACGTGATAAAGTTGACTGTTGAAGGGAAAAAAATAGAGCGGCTGTAATAGTAGCGGGACTTACACCAGGGAGGATGCGCGGGCACTTGCCGCACTTGACGCCATTGGCTCTCTTGGCGATGTACTGGATTGTGAGCTTGCCTCCTGCTCCAGGTCAACGCGCAACAACAGAGCGGGACAAACATGGGCAGATGTAACATGGGCGAAACACAACGGTTGAGAGGGGGATAACCAGGAGAATACGAACGATTTTCTCGGCGCCCCAACATTCCTCAATCAGGGGATAAGCGGGGGATATGGGTGGTGCAATATTCGTTTCACGCGCCAATCCATCGACATGCCGAGATGCGACGTAAAAATATGATCCGCGATCGGTCGCACGGGAAAGCGCAGTCAGCCAGGAATAAAAATCTCAGGCCTTTTGAATACAGCGTGCGCTTATAACGAGTCCGCAAGATGCCGTTAACTAGATACTGCGACGCAAGCGTGGCGTGCGCGGAACGATCTAAAACGGAACGAACAGGAGGTAATTAGGGTTTCCGAAGAAAAGGTAAGGTGAGAAAAGGATCGTGCCTGGGGTGCGGATGGTGCGGCGGAGGTTCGAGCGTGTGGCATAGGGGTGCCTGCGGCGGTATGTGAAGCGCTCGCCCATGGTGCTAGGGTTTCGTGCGTGCTACGCCGACGATGGCTGCCGCTGACGTGTCAAGAGGCTCCTACACCCGCGTGGGTGAGGTAAGGTTCTAGGGCGTAGTGAGAAGAGGCGAGGGAGAAAAGAGGTAAGAGGAAAAGTGAGAGGGGATTTGAAGGGGAGGGGAGGCTGGGTGTGCGCGGGCAGCACACGGGGGGGGAAGAGCATGGGGAGAAAGGGGAACGAAGGTGGGGGTGCGCAGGAAGCGGAACTGCAAATGGAAAGCGGGGAGGTTGTGAAGCGGGGTGTGGAAAGTGGGGAGGTTGGGGCGGGTTTTCGGGGCGAATGGGGAAGGGAGAGTTGCAAAAATGAGTTGGAGTGGTGGGAATCGGTTCCGGAGGAGGATGTTAGGGGTGGTTCGATTATGGGGAAGTATTTCAAGTATGATCGAGTTTCTTAGCGGATACCGTAGATGCTTCATGCGGTGTACTGTAGACTCTGACATCTGACACTAGCGGGATTCTCGATTTCAAGCACTGGCTTGAGTTTGTCCTGGCCTTGGAGTTTGCTCTACCATTTCTGCAGCTGAACGTGTAACTGGAATGCGGTTGGCTGTGATAATCGTATATATCAGAACGTCTTGATAGCTTACACGACGGTTGAGTACGGTTTTGAGCTAGAAGTATATGACACCCTGGTTATCAGTGATCGTCAATGCTTGTGACTTTCAGTTGCGCCGTGATCCCCGCACGAGCTAAGCAGGAATCAACGATGAGAAAAACTACCGATGCTTTGCCGTCGCGCTTTTTGCGAAACCATTGATTCTGTTTGCAGAGTCATCGGAACGCTCTACCTTCTCGCAGCGACCTCTCCTCGCGGAGTTCTTTCCCTACGACCTAGCTCGATTTGAACCAGCACTCCGCTTAGAGTGCTACGTTAGCTACGGGAAGGTATTGCGAGATTGAAAAGTCCAACTCGTTAGTCCGTTCGCGCGCCTCGCGATCGCGTCACATCGCCAGGTCATAGCTCGACACTTGTCATGGCCAGCGTGGCAGCGGCGATCAATAGAGCGTCGTCGTCGAAAGTCGATGCGGATCTATGGTGGTCCTCACACGGTGCCTTGCTGGCGCGACTCGAGGCGATTGACAGTGGAGGGAGTGACAATGTCGAGGAGGATGGTCGCGAGCTGGTACGTGTTACGAGAGTGAGCAAACTTCTTAACAAGCTCTGTAACCAGCGGTGTTTGTCGTTGGTTAACGTTCATAGACAAGTCGAGTGCAACGCGCGTCGGATACAGGCCTGACGGAGACTGACGGAGACTAGCTATCGCGTCTGGTTCGTACGTGATCTCCCTCATCGCGTCAGTCTCACAATCAGAGTCCGTAGGCGCAGTGACCCTGAGGATTTGGGGGTCTGGTTGTGAGCCTGACGCTATCAGAGCCCTCAGTCAAGCTCATCAACGAGTCTGTATGACTCGCTTGTAGTCTAGACACCTTGACCGTGACACTTCAGATTCAGATACAGGGTCCTGGTTCTGACGAGGCCAGCCATTACCCGAGTCCAGCCTTCATAGCTGGGAATCATATCCATGCAATCGAATTCCGTAACACCTTTGCCCCTCCCCTTCTCTTCCGGTGATCCGTCTCGGGCAGGCCAGGAGCCTATCAGAGCATCACACGTGGCTGCTACACGGCTTGGCGCGCTTCAAGCCTCCCAGCAGCCGATCCCGCGACGCCATTGGCGCGGCTCGTCTGGAGGTGGGGGTGGGGGGAGCAGCTGGCGCTTTGCAAGTGACGATCCCAGTGGTTGGACGGCTAAGAGAAGCTGCTGTGACTGCAAGCGCTGTGATTGTAAGTGGGGATGGGAAGGAACAGGGTTGTAAGGATGTTAGAGGGTTATAAAGCAGTGACCATCCCATCCCTGTGTGGGGAGTCCAAGAGAAGCATACACTTTGGCGGATAGAGTGGCGGGAGGGGAGAGGGCGCTGGCTGGTTGTGTCGTCTCAGAACTTCTATTTCACTACATCATGTGTGCGTGTGTATGTTGTGTGTGTTTACAGGGCTTGGATGAGACGCAGGCATATTTTCTGGCGGATAGGGTGGGCGGAGGGGAGAGGGCGCTGGTGGGGGAAGCAGAGGCGGAGGGCGCGGGGAAGGGAGCAGGAGGAGGAGAGAGGAAGAGGGGGTTGGAGGAGAAGGAAGAGCAGCGGAGATTGGACTGCATGTGTGGTGCTTTGGACTGCATAGCAAACGAGGCCATGCGTTCGCGCACCACATGCAATGTGACACGAATTTCCTTTCTATATCAGCCTCCCTACTTCCCTCCCCATGCACTGTGCAAGTGCAGGTTGTGGCGCTGTATCAGGAAGACTTTTGAGACTTCTCATGCGTCGTTCCCCCTCCATCCGTTCACATGCTTGCTCTGAATGCGTGCAGATCGTGGCGTTGTATCAGGAGGAGAGGCAGAGCCTGCTCAAATGCCTGCGGCTTTTGCTGGCCATGCAAGGTGCGCTGCTTTGCAGCAGTCACTGTTGATGGTTTCTGACTTATGGGTGGTTCTGCGTGGTTTATAGCTTCATCTCATGGCGCTGTTGCGTGATCAGTCTATGGCTGATCACGTTACTGGCATCTCTGACTTACTGCATCCTTATCCTCATCCTCATTGCATGGCATGGCAGTACCGTGCTGTATAAGTATGTGCAGCCTACCTCAACTGCTGCATCATTCATTCCGCATGCATGCCCACTTCCTCTTAACCCAACATAACCTCAGCTCCTCCCAACCTCCGCTTACCCTACCCCCAGCTGATTCTTCCTCCCCTTATGCCGCTGCAATCGAGGGGGAGGTGAGCGCGTTGCTGGGAGAGGGCCTATTGTCAAACCTTATGGCTCAGCTCAGGTCGCTACCGCGATTCCAACCCCCCAAGGCTCTGGTACGTGCTGCTGACATGCTCACATGCCATGATAGCGTTTGAGTTGACGCACTCTAAGGTCAGCTCAGCTGCCATTGAAGGGGAGGTGAGCGCGCTGCTGAAGGAGGGGCTGCTGTCAAACGTCATGGCTCAGCTGAGGTTGCTCCCGCGATCCCAACCCCCCAAGGCTCTGGTACGTGCTGCTCATGCTCGCATGCCATGATAGCGTTTGCCATTGAGGGGGAAGGTGCGAGTGAGCGTGCTGCTGAAGGAGGGGCTGCTGTCATACGTTATGGCTCAGCTCAGGTCGCTCCCGCGATCCCAACCCCCCAAGGCTCTGGTACGTGCTGCTGTGATGCTGACTGACATGATGTCATGGCTGGGTGAGCAACCTGCTGTTTGTCGCATTGCATGACGCCTTCATACCTCATGATTTTAGGTTCTAAATCTGAAAGAAGTAAGAACTCTCCCAAAGGACTTGAGGACCGCAACCAATGTTTCCTACTTTCTAGGCTGACTGATTGAAATCCATTTAATCCATCTTTCAAGCTGTTTTTCAGCTTATCATCTTGATTGAACCTCCATGCTTTTGGCTTCTTCCTTTTTTCGTCAGGATCGGGCAGGAATGGCGGGATGGGCAGAAGCATCCTCGTTACAAGCATGCTTGCTACTAGACATCCTCATCCTCATCGCCTCGTCTAATGGCTGCCGCGCTACAGACATCCCGGATATAATCAAACTCGTTCAGGTGCCCATCCTTGGTTCAGTCTTACCATTGATTTCAATCTCGATTGGTTCAGCATTGCACACTCTCTTTCAATACACCGTTTTCATTCTCTCCTTTTCCCTTCTCCCTCTTTCTTTCCCCCTCTTGTTCCCTCCTTCGCTCCTTCCATTCTCTCTCTCAATGCCCACTTTGTTAAGTGATGTTTAACCCCGAATAATCCAAAACGGGAAATTCCCTTCCACTTTCCCATCCTCTTACCTGACCCCTTCTGACCCCTTGCCAACCCCTTCTGACCCCTTGCCAACCCCTTGCCAACCCCTTCTGGCCCCTACCAGGAGCTTTTCTTTGGCTTCACTCCCTCTCCACAGCCCCTCTCCTCATCTCCATACTCCACCCCTCCCTCCTCCTCCTCGCTCTCCTCCTCCGTATCTCTCGCCTCGCTAGCCATCAGTGCAGCGGCCGAGTCACTCCTCTGCACCGCACTGCACCGTGCTGTGCTCCTGTTAATCGCAGCTGTGGACGTGGAGGGGGTAGTCGTGGCCCTGGCGCAGGGGGCGAATTTCAGGTGTGTTTCATAATCTCCCTTTCTCAACGTTCATTGATTTTAGCTCTCCATTTTTTGTTGGTTTCACAGTGTCACTTCACTGACACTGGCATTTTCTCTCACAACCTCCGTTCCTGTCCGCTCCCCCACACGTGGCTTTTTGTAAATCTTCTCCCCTTTACAGCACGTCGCAACACCCGCTCTCCTCGCCCTCCGACCTCTCGGAAGTGGATCAATGCCTCTCTGCGTGGCTCTCTTGCCTTCTCTCTGCCGCTGCCGCCAAGGGAAGGCCGGGAGGGGCAGGCCAGAGCCCTGAGTTTGGCAGTGGAATGGGGGTGGCAGAGGAGGGAATGGAGGAGGACTTTGGAGGGGGGGGAAGGGGGGAGCGGGGACTCACTGGTTTAAATGCAGTGGTGCCGTTGGTGGGGGGGGGGACTGGTAGTGCCGGAGCAGGGTCAGACGTATCTCCTGTGCTGCTCGCATGGGGTCTCGTGCGCATGCTGCTGCAGTGGCTGCCGGATTCCTCTCACCTGCCGGTGAGACATTATGCACAAGAGGGATCTATCAGCAAACTGGTAGTGCCGGTGCTGGGTCAGATGTGTCTCCTGTGCTGCTCGCATGGGGTCTAGTCCTCATGCTGTTGCAATGGCTGCCGGATTCCTCTCACCTGCCGGTGAGCTATCATCACCTATCATCAGGCCTCTGTGTGCCCTGTGCTGCTCACATATTCTCGTGTCTCCCATGCTGCTGCTCGCATGGGGCCTCGTGCGTATGCTGCTGCAGTGGCTGCCAGATGCATCACAGCTACCGGTATGGTAACACACGGGAGACGTAGGGGGCTTCCAGCTATAGACCTCCTCTTAGCTGCTGGTAACCCGATGATGCACAATATTTTCAGTTCAGCTCCCTGGTGGTGTCAGCACAATAGGCCTGGCCTGACACATGTTTCTTGTGCTGCTCACTCACGATGCACACACACAGCAACACCTGTGGATTGCCTTCAGAGCATTCTCTGTGACGCTCACTCACGTTGCACTCAAGCAGTGTCTGTGGCTCTGCCCATTTTTCAGAATGCTTAAAACGTATCCGGCTTGCCCTTCCCATCTCCTCTCCTCTCTTCTCCTCTTTGCCACACCATTGCAGCCACCTGTGTTGAACCCGGGTGTGTGTGTGCAAGCAGCCTATGCAGCAGGAGCGCTGGACTGGATTCTCTCCTCGCTGCTCTCCTCTTCCCTCGCCTCCCACCCTTCCAACGACCCTGTGAGTCACGTCTTCTTTTACAGGTACCTCTTTCTGTGAGGAGTAGCTTGCTTACAAGTTATAGTCACCTTCTGTACAGTCACCCTCCAATATTCAACGCCTTCAGTCAACTTAACAATCAACTCCATTTACAACCAACTCTTCAACTGTTAACTCCGTAAGAGCTCCTTACAACCTCGCCCTACCTCACTGCATCCTGAGACGTCTCATAAGTAGTCCTGCCTCCGTCCCTACCTCCCCATGCCCACACCCATGCTTGCCCTGTGACCTGGTGTGTGCAAGGGCAGGTGATGCAGGGGGTGGTGAAGCGATGCGTCAAGGGGCTTTGCACAGCCTACCTCACTGCATTTGACATTTCCAACCAGGTTTGTACCTTCCCGGGCTTCTGTGCTTATCTGTATTTACTAATTTTGATATGTCTGTAGTTCTACCATCGGCTCTTTGTGTCAGTTTTTCTCAAACCCTTTTCTTGTTGTACCCCGGTTTCAGAAAGGCACTCGGCTATATGCCCTTCTTCTGGAGATAATCTGCCGTGCCTTTTCAGAGCAGGTCAGTGCTTGTTACCGTGTGGCACCGCACAGCACCTCATGGCACCAGATGCACCACATATGACATGTAACCACCTGTCTCAACACCATCTCACCTCTGTTCACTGCCTTGTCACCGCACCACACACCTCACCACCTCTCCGCCGCCCAACTCTCTGTGAGCTCTTCTGGGAATTTCTCTCTGCTACCTCAATATCACTCTAGTATTTCACAGACTCCCCTTCTGACGCCCCCATCTGCTCTTTGCTTTGTTCCGTCAGGAAAAAGAATCCACCCGTCTAACTTCTGTGCCCTCCTCATCACTCCTGCCCCCGTCCCCGCCCCTTCTTCACCTACCTTTCTCCCAGGAGTCGCTATGCACTGACTTCTGGGACGCATCAGCATCTCCATCCGATGCCCCTCTCCGCTCGCTCCTAGCCGCCACCAGACGGGACTTCCCCGCCCGCCCCCTGCCCTTCCTGCGCCTCCTCTCTGCCCTCTCCCACGGCTCATGGCCCGCCCGCTGCACGTGAGTTATGATCGTTGCCTTGCCTTTGCAGTCTCCTGCTCGCCATACGGAGACATCTCATCTCACCCCACCCACCCCCCTCCGTTCCTGCATTTCCTCTCTGCCCTTCGCACGCTAGTTTCTCCCATGACCCCTGACCCGCCGTCTGCACGTGAGTTGCTATCCTCTCGCTTGTCGTGTTTATCTGCCCATTTCCGGTCCCCCCCTCCTCCCCCCCTTCGCCCTCCCCCTTCCCAACCCTGCCTACGGCTACATCTCAGCTTTGAGTTCCTCGAGAGCACTATGGGAGCAGCGCTCCTCCTCCCCCTCCCGCCCGCCTGTGCCTCCCTCTCCGCCCTCTCAGCCCCCCAGCCGCTGCTGCTGCCGCGCTGTGGGGGGCTGCTGGTTCCTGCTGGGGCGCGGGGGAGGTGGTGGAACGGGAGAACGGACTTTCACTGGTGCATTTTGAGGTGAGCAATGGAGGGGAAGGTAGGGTCTGTGCCTCCCTCTCCGCCCTCTCCGCCCTCTCCGCCCCCCAGCCCCTGCTGCTGCCGCGCTGTGGGGGGCTGCTGGTTCCTGCTGGGGCGTGGGGTGAGGTGGTGGAAGGGGGAGGGAGGGATGGACTCGCACTCGTGCACTTCGAGGTGAGCAATGGGGAAAGGGAGAGGTGGCAAAGGGCAGGGGGTTGTGGGGGAAGGGGTGACAGAGCATCTTGACGGTCATGATGCTCTTGAAAAACAGTTGGTGAGAGCATCTTGACAGACAGAGCATCTTGACAGAGCATCTGTTTCCCCACTGTTCTCAATAAACATTGTTCCCCCACTGTCCCCAACTGTTTCCTCACTGTCCCCACTGTTTATGGTGTCGTGTTTCGCTGCGACACCCACCCACATCCCCTTCCCCTGCAATTCCCCTGCCATCTTGTCCCCCACCCACTCATGGTGCAAGTCCTCCTTGTGGCTTCTGTGCTGTGCTATCACACAACACATTTTCCCTGCTACTTTACCCCCTCTCCTCCCTGCCCCCCCACCCTCCCCCCTGCCAGGTTCCTCTGAGTGCGCTCCTCATCCTGCTTTTCAATCTCGTGCACCGAGCACAGTGAGACCACACAACACACCCCTTCCTCTTTCCCCCCTTCCCCCCTTCCCCACTTCCCTCCCCTGCGTGTTATCCCCCCTCTCCCCACCAGGTCCCCCTCAGCGCGCTCCTCATCCTGCTCTTGCGCCTTGTGCACCGCGCATGCAGGACCACATAACACACCCCTTCCACCTTCCCCACCCCTGTTTGTTACTCCTCCCTTCCTCCCACCAGGTCCCCCTGAGCGCGCTCCGCATCCTGCTCTTGCGCCTTGTGCACCGCACACAGCAGGGCCCAACTACACAGCCCATCACCCCTTTCCCTCCCTTGTGTGTTACTCCTTCACCCCCCACCAGGTCCCTATAAGCGCCCTCCTCATCCTGCTCTTGCGCCTCGTGCACCGCACACAGCAGGGCCCAACTACACAGCCATTCCTCCTTCCCACCGTCATTCCTCCTTCCCACCGTCCTCTTTCCCCTCCCCTGCGTGTTCCACCCCCTCCCACCACCAGGTCCCCCTGAGCACCCTGCTTATCTTGCTCTTCCGCCTTGTGCACCGAGCACAGCAAGACCAGGGCGCATCTCCTGCCGCTTCCCATGCTGCCCCACACGTCCTTTCAATCCCCCCACCAGGTCCCCCTCAGCGCCCTCCTCATCTTGCTCTTCCGCCTCGTGCACCGAGCACAGCAGGACCAGGATGCCTCTCCTGCTACTGCCACGTGGCAGTCCGCCATTGGCGGAGCTGACGTCAGTGCTGGTGCCGCAGGGATGGTGGGAGAGGAGGAAGCAGCGGAGGAGCTGTCAGTGGGGCTGTCGCTGCTCTCCAACCTGCTATCGGCTAATCAGGCATGCTTAATCTTTTGAGGCGATTCAATAGCAGGGGTTGGGGGGGGAGGAGGAAGCAGTGAGGGAGGGAGGGAGGAGCTCTCAGTGGGGCTATTGCTGCTCTCCCACCTGTTCGCCCGTTTATATTCCTTGCCTTTTTCTCGTGGGATTTCTTCTGAGAATTGAGCAGCATTTAACGTGCGGGCATGAAGAGTCTCGTGGGATCTCTTCCTGCATCTCCACTCCTCGCCCCTTTTCCCTCAGGGCTGTTTCCTTTTCTACCCCCCTCTCTCCCCTCTCCATCTTCCAACTCTCTCCCCACCATTACCGCGCTTCCCATCTTCCCATCTTCCCATCTGCGTCTGTAGCTGTCACTGTTCCTTCTTTCTCCCCATCAGTTCTGCTCTTACCATCTCTCTCCCCCCTCCTCGCACCCCCCATGTCCTGCCCATCAGGCGTGTGTGAGGGCGCTCCTGCATCTGCACTCCTCGCCCCTTGTTGCAGCTGCATTGGCCAATGGGCTGCTGCCACGTGGCATGACGTACGTGTGGTAAACAGAGCCTGGTCTCTGCTGCATGCAATGTTTATACAGCTGCTCCCTCCCACCCACTTAAGGTTTTTCTGCCCGTGTTAGCACTTTTTTGTTCCTCAAATCAAGACTGTTGTTCTTTTCTCGTCTCCTCTCCTACTCTCCTCCTGTTGCCACATTCCCTCTTCTCCTCTCCCCCTCCCTCCTCCCCCCTCCTCTCCTCCCTGTAACCCCCAGATTGGACCCCACTGCGCTCATCACAGCCATTCTGGACGGGCTGCTCTCCTCCCCTGCTCTTCTTTCCATTACTGAATCTCTGCTCCTTTTTCCTGCCCATTCCTCCCTGTAACCCCCAGATTGGACCCCACCGCACTCATCACAGACAGCCATACTGGACGGCCTGCTCTCCTCCCCTGCTCTCTTTTTGAGGCGCCTCAAAGATATTATTTCGCCAATCTGCCAAACTCCCTTCCCCTCCCTCCTCCCCCCTCCTCTCCTCCCTGTAACCACCAGATTGGACCCCACCGCGCTCATCACAGCCATTCTGGACGGCCTGCTCTCCTCCCCTGCTCTTCTTTCGAGGCCCCTCATTTTGTACCCTCCCTCTTTACCTCCCCCCTCCTCCCTCCCTCTCCTCCCTGTAACCCCCAGATTGGACCCCACTGCGCTCATCACAGCCATACTGGATGGCCTCCTCGCCTCCCCTGCTATCTCCGCCCCCTCCTCCCCCTTTTCCTCCTCCTCATCCTCCCCGTCCTCCTCCTCCTCCACCTCTCAATCACCATCTGCTGCTGTCGCTCTGGCCTCGGCTGCTTGCTGCCTGCGAATACTGGCTGCCTTTGCCCTCCTGTGAGTGCCCCCCCTCCTTCCCCCGAACTGTTTTGAGTCAGCAAGAGAGTCATTTCCACTTCCCACGCACCATCTGGTGCTATCGCTCTGGCCTCTGCTTCCTGCTGGCAGGAATTATTTGAGGTTTTTGCTCTCCTGTCTGTGCCCTCCGTCCGTCCTTTCTCCCTACCTTCTCACCTGCTTCTCTCTCCTATGCTCCCTTTCCTCCACCCCCACCCCTCCCTCATCCCTCTCCATCTGCTTCCCACCTGCATCTCTCTCCTATGCCATCCCCTCCCTCTCTTCTCTCTCCCGCTTTCTTTCCTCCCCTTCCTCCCTCCCACTCCCACCCCTCCCTCTCATCCCCGCCTTTCTTCTTTCTCCCCTCACCTCTCCCTCCCTGCAGCCATCCTGAGCGTGTTGCTTCTGCACTTTCTTCCTCCATCTTCTCCCCATCAGCCCTATCCTCCGACCTCCAACTGTACGTATTATCGCAGGTAGAGAGATGACTTTTGATGCGCCTCAAAAGTGACCTCCAACTGTGCGTTTTTTTTTTTTTTTTTTTTCGAGGCGCCTAAAAAATAGACCCTATCAGCCCTACCGTCCGATTTGTGCGTTGTCCTCACAACTGTGCATAAGCCTGCCTACCTGCAGTCAAAGAAAACCACTGATTGCCATCCCTCCCTGGCCTCACCATATCTCTCTTCAAATGACATTCCACACATCGATCTTTCTCCTCTCTCTCCCTCCTTCCCTGCTCCCCGTTCACCCAATCCGCTTCTGCTCCCAGCCAATCAGGGCCTGCCACGAGTCCTCTGCACCTGCTGTGCTTCCAGATCGAGCAACCACTGGGAAGCTTCCCTTTCACTCTTGCAGGTACCTCCTTCCTCCTTGTCTGCTCTACCCTACACGCTTCCTTCCTTCACCTTAGCTAGTGGCAGCACTGGTGTACCAAGCAATATTGGTATGGCTTTTGAGAATTCTCCTTACCAAAAGCCATACCAATATTCCTTCACCTTAGCTAGTGACAGCACTGGTGTACCAAGTGACACGTGCTTTTCTTAGCTAGTGACACGTCGCACAGCTCTTCCTTTCCATGTGTGACGTGTCAGTTGGTACACCAGTGCTGGCACCTCAGATGTGAGGCGCCTCAAATGTGTCATATCTCAGGTCTGGAGTCTTCACGTGGCGCAAGCACTGGTGATGCAGGGAGGGAGTTGTAGGGAGTTGGAGGGAGTTGGAGGGAGTTGGAGGGAGTTGGAGGGAGTTGGAGGGAGTTGGAGAGGAGCATGGCTGCGCCTCTCTTTGGGAGTTATGAAACATGGCTAACGATTCAATCCCGAACCCTGCCCTCCTCCTTTCCACATGCAGCTCTGGACCTGGCAGCAGCGCTGGTGAAGCAGGGAGTGACAGGAGGACCGGTGCCAGACCTGCTGGGGTTCGCAGTGATGGATGTGCTGCCCAACTATGGGGCGTGGCGCATGGAGGACGGCAGGGAGCGATGGCTCATGGCTGGCAAGGTGAGACGCTGGGAGATGGGAGGTAGGGAGAGGCAAGGAACTCTATCAGGCGGACAGGTGGCAGATCTGTTGGGGTTTGCGGTGATGTGTGTGTGTGGAGCTATGGGGCGTGGCGCATGGAGGATGGCAGGGAGCGATGGCACATGGCTGGCAAGGTGAGATGGCTGGCAAGGTGGGAACTCTAGAACCGCTATTATGAGGAGTAGTGCCAGTCCAGGCCTGCTGGGGTTTGCGGTGACGGATGTAATGCCGAATTATGGGGCGTGGCGCATGGAGGATGGCAGGGAGCGGTGGCACATGAGCCATCGGGAAACCGGGCAACCGCCTGGACCACCACGCGCGCGCCTGGACCAACGCGCGCCCCTGGACCAACGCGCGCCCCTGGACCAACGCGCGCCCCTGGACCAACGCGTGCGCCTGGACCAACGCGCGCGCCCGGACCAACGCGCGCGCCTGGACCAACGCGCGCGCCTGGACCAACGCGCGCGCCTGGACCAACGCGCGCCCCTGGACCAACGCGCGCGCCTGGACCAACGCGCGCGCCTGGACCAACGCGCGGTCCTGGACCAACGTGCGCGCCTGGACCAACGCGCGCGCCTGGACCAACGCGCGCCCCTGGACCAACGCGCGCGCCTGGACCAACGCGCGCGCCTGGACCAACGCGCGCGCCTGGACCAACGCGCGCGCCTTGTCAAACATTGTATGTTTACCTTGTATAGGCTATAGTGGGTTTAGCCTTAGGGGGTACACAAACTTAGGGTTTCCTACTTGTACCCAACTTTGTGTTAGTTCAATCATTCCTGTTTCGTTCTTTCTGACATGGTTTCAGAGCAGGTCCTCCGCTAGGACCGAATTTTTTAAAGGGCCCACCACACTGACTGCCTACTAGCGCCCTCGTGCGCCCTACTGTCGGAGCGCCCTCGAGCGCCTCCCCCCAGCGCCCTCGTGCGCCCCTCCTTAGCGGCCCCTAACGGCCCCGTCGACCCCGCGCGCCGCCCCTTAACGGCCCCTTACGGCCCCGTCGACCCCGCGCGCCGCCCCTTAGCGGCCCCTTACGGCCCCGTCGACCCTGCGCGCCGCCCCTTAGCGGCCCCTTACGGCCCCGTCGACCCCGCGCGCCGCCCCCTAGAGGCCCCTTACGGCCCCGTCGACCCCGCGCGCCGCCCCTTAGCGGCCCCTTACGGCCCCGTCGACCCCGCGCGCCGCCCCCTAGCGGCCCCTTACGGCCCCGTCGACCCCACGCGCCGCCCCTTAGCGGCCCCTTACGGCCCCGTCGACCCCGCGCACGGCCCCTTATCGGCCCCCTACGGCCTCGTCGACCCCGCGCGCCGCCCCTTAGCGGCCCCGTCGGCCCCGCGTTCGCCCCTTAGAGGCCCCGTCGGCCCCGCCAGAACCGAGCCGCCCCACGCGCGACCGCCACGGCCCCGCCAGAACCGAGCCGCCCGAACCGAGCCGCCCAGCCCGAGCCGAGCCGCGCTGCCCGAACCGAGCCGCGCCGCCCTCCCCGTACTGAGCGGCCCTCTCTGGACTGAGCCGCCCTACCTGGGTCGCGCTGACTGCTGTTTTTTAGGGTTTCGCCTGCTGCTACTACTACTGCTACTGTTTCTTCTACTGCTGCTATGGCTAGCCCCGCTGTACTCGCTTTTGTTGCCGAGATCTGGCTAGATGACTTGCACCTGTTCCTCCAGCTCACTGCCAAGGAGGACATCTCGCTGTACGATCACGCACTAGGCCTCGCTGCTGCCCCTGCTGTTACTGCTGACAGTACTGCCCGCTCACAGTGGCAGACTCGTGATGCCCACGCTCGTTTCGCTATTCGCAACTCCCTGCCGGTAGATGAGCGCGAGCACTTTGGCCAGCACAAGACTGCACAGGCAATGTACACTGCTGTAGTTGCACGCTACTCCCCACCTGCCTCTGCTGCGCTAGGCCGTCTCTCGCTCCCCTACCTGTTCCCAGACCTGTCCGCTTTCGCCACAGTCGCTGACCTCACCACGCACCTGCGCACTAGTGAGGCTCGCTTCCGTGCCGCTATGCCCGCTGAGTTTCTTGCCACCCACCTCCCCCCGCTCTGGCTCACTCTCTACCACCTTGTCACCCGTCTCCCTGACTCTCTTCGTGCGGTCAGGGACCACTTCCTCGCTCGCTGCCCCACTGAGCTCACCGCTGACCTGCTCGAGAAGGAACTGCTTGCAGCCGAGACTAGCATAGTCGCTGTAGCTGCCTCTCGTGGCGAACCCCGCACCCCGTTCTTCGAGGGGTGTTCCCCTTCCCCCCTGCTCCCCTCTGTCGCCTCTGCTGCTGCTGTCGACCTAGTTGGTACTGAGCAGGTCGGGACTGCGTCCGCTCCGAGCTGGCGCCGCAGCGGCAAGGGCAAAGGGGGCAAGGGAGGTGGAGGTGACGGCGGGGGAGGCGGTGGTGGGGGCGGTGGAGGCGGTGGGGGTGGTGGCGGGGCAGGAGGGGCTAGTGGCAGTGGTGGGGGTGGTGGCGGCAGCAGCGGAGGAGGTGGCCGGGGTGGGGGCGGTGGTGGGGGCGGCGGTGGACGAGGCGGCGGCAGGGGCGGTGGTGGTCGAGGTGGTGGCGGCGGAGGTGGTGGTCGTGGTGGCGCTGGCGGACAGCAGACTCTCTCTCCCCAGGAGCTTCGTGAGTGGTACTCTCAGCACGGGGGGGGGGGGGTGGCCTTACTGCACGTACGTCATCCGCACTGGTGAGCGCACTGGCCAGACGTGTGGGAGGGCGCACACCACGCAGCGCTGCTTCTCCCGCCTCGACGACGCTTGGCGCACTCAGTTCCCTACTGCCACTGAGCTGCCTCGCTGGTGGGATCTGATGAAGAAGAACATTGATGTCTTTGCTCTTGACTTTGATGCTATTCTCACTGCCATGTATGTGTTGTCTACTAGTGGAGAGGGTGATCAGTACCTGCGTGTTCCGCCCGACCCGGGCATTCGCACCAGTGAGGCTGCCGCTCTAGGTGCTTGCGTGTCTGCTGCCCCAGGTGCTGGTGAGGCTGCTGCGCTAGGTGCTCACGTGTCTGCTGCCCCAGGTGCTGGTGAGGCTGTTGCTCCAGGTGCTAGTGAGTCTGCGCCCCCTGGTACTGAGTCCACTGAGGCACTGCACACCTTCACTCTAGACTCAGGCGCTTCTCGCTGTTTCTTTCGTGACCGCACTGCCCTTGAGCAGCTTGCTCGGCCAGTTGCTGTCTCCCTTGCTGACCCCTCTGGGGGTCCGGTCATTGCGACCTCCTCCACTGTCCTTCCTTGTCCTGCGGTTCCGTCGGGCACTCTGTCAGGTCTCCACCTCCCCTCGTTCTCTACGAACTTGGTGGCGGGTTGTGCGCTCCAGGACGGGGGTGTCCACCAGTTCACCCCTGCCTACGAGCGCGTGACACACTGCACGTGTGCTCGGACGGGCCGTCACCTCGCTACCTTCACTAGGCAGCCGGGGTCGGACCTGTACACACTGACCACTGAGTCCCCTCAGGTAGCTGCGTCTGCGTCTGCGTCAGGTCAGTTGTCTGCCCCCTGCTCGTGTCGCTCTCTGGCGCACGAGACTGTCCTCTGGCACTACCGCCTTGGTCACCCGTCCGTGCAGCGCCTTCGTGCCATGCACAAACGGTACCTTGTCTCTGGTCTTCCCCGGGTACTCCCTCCCCTACCACCCTCGCCTGCTCCTCCCTGTCTTCCTTGTGTCGAGGGGCGGCAGCGCGCCGCTCCTCACTCCTCCTCGTTTCCCCCGACGACTGCTCCCTTGCAGACGCTCCACATGGACGTGTGGGGCCCAGCCCGCGTCCGTGGACAGGGTCAGGAGCGGTACTTCCTGATCGTTGTTGACGACTACTCGCGCTACACCACGGTCTTCCCCTTGCGCACCAAGGGTGAGGTCCCTGCTGTTTTGATCCCTTGGATCCGTGCTTCTCGTCTCCAGCTCAGCGAGCGTTTCCACTCGGACTTTCCTGTCTTGCGTCTGCACTCTGACAGAGGTGGTGAGTTCTCCTCCGACCTCTTGGCAGCCTACTGTGCGGAGCACGGCATTGAGCAGTCGTTCACGCTTCCGGCCTCTCCACAACAGAATGGGGTTGCTGAGCGCCGCATTGGCTTGGTCATGGAGGTCGTTCGTACCTCCTTGATCCATGCGGCTGCCCCCCACTTTCTGTGGCCGTTTGCAGTCCGCTACGCTGCGCATCAGCTCAACCTCTGGCCCCGTGTCTCCTTGCCGGAGACCTCGCCCACACTGCTGTGGACGGGGGAGGTTGGCGATGCGTCGCGTTTTCGGGTCTGGGGATCTCAAGCTTTTGTCCGCGATACGTCTGCGGACAAGCTCTCCTCCCGCGCTGTTCCTTGTGTCTTCCTTGGCTTTGTCTCGGACGCGTCTGGTTGGCAGTTCTACCACGCCACCTCGCGCCATGTCCTGCCCTCTCAGGACGTCACTTTTGACGAGTCGGTGCCCTACTACCGCCTCTTCCCCTACCGCACTGCCCCGCTCCCTCCCCCGCCTCTCTTCCTCGCGCCAGGTGCTGCTGTGGTAGACCCCCTCCCCCCTCAGGGTGCCGCTCCCTCAGGTGTGTCCCAGGTAGACCCGGTTGACCCTGTCGAGGTAGCTGTCGACTCTCGTCCTGCTAGGGGTGCTGCGCCTGAGCGTGCGGAGCCTGGGGGTGCGGAGCCTGGGGGTGCGGAGCCTGGGGTTGCGGAGTCTGGGGGTGCTGAGTCTGGGGGTGCTGAGACTGGGGGTGCTGAGTCTGGGGGTGCTGAGTCTGGGGGTGCTGAGCCTGGGAGTGCTACACCTGGAGGAGCTCTCTCCTCCGAGCAGCTGCGTGAGTGGTACTTACAGTACTGCAGCCTCAGGAGAGGTGCTTCTGGCGCTCGGAGCGCTGCTGGAGCTGGTGCTAGTGCTTCCCCTCCTAGGCGGGCGCTGCCCTCTCCCCTGCAGCTCCGCGAGTGGTACGCTCGGCACTGCAGTCTCCGGAGTGGCGCTCCTCGCGTCGCGGACCCCGGTGCAGTGCTGGAGCTGCTGGAGGTGTTACTGGTGCTGGTGCTGCTGGAGCTGCAGGAGGTGCTGCTGGTGCTGCTGGAGCTGCTGGAGGTGTTGCTGGTGCTGGTACTGCTGGAGCTGCAGGAGGTGCTGCTGCTGCTGGCGGTGCTGCTGGCGCTGCTGGAGGTGCTGCTGGTACTGGTGCTGCTGGTACTGCTGGAGCTGCTGGAGGTGCTGCTGGAGGTGCTGCTGCTGCTGCAGCTGCTGGAGGTGCTGGTGCTGCTGGTGGTGCTGCTGGTGCTGGAGCTGCTGGAGCCGCCGGTCTTGGAGGTGCTCGTATTGGAGGTACTGGAGCTGCTGGGACTGGAGCTGCTGAGGGGGTTGGCGCTGGAGGTGCTGAGCGACTGCGGCCGTACTACGTTCCGCTCCTTCAGCAGATTCTTGGTCTCCCGCCCTCTCCTGGTCCTCCTCCTCCTCCCCTACTGAGTCCACCACCTGTCCCGTCGCAGTCACAGTTACAGCCTGCCTCTCCACTGTCTGGTCCTTCTCCTTACACTGCGCCAACAGGTAGCTTTACGGAGCGTCGTGAGCCTGAGTCTCGTCCTCCGTCGCCTGAGTCCAGTCCTGCGTCTCCTGAGTCTCGTCTAGAGTCGCCTGTCCGCACTGCCCGCACTGGTCGTCGTGCTCCGCGTCAGCGTCCTCCTCCTGTCCTTGGCACTCACTATATGACCCTGCGTTCTTCCACTGCTCCACAGCGCGTACCTATGCCGTCTCCTCCTGCGTCCTCTCTTCCTGACGTTGCCGACCCGCCGTCAGACCTTACTCGTGCTGCCAGTCCTACTGTCGCGCGTCTCCTTGCCACTGTTGTCACTGAC